ACACATAACATTCTTTGCCTTACTGAACGATTGTATTCTTTGTTCGCTTTCACCCGCATTATGAAAAGGCTTTTCGTTTATCTTAATGCAATTTTGTAAAAAGTTCTCGCATGCTTCACGCATTTCTTTAACGGATACGAATTTTGCGGAGCAATCGCCATTTGTAGTTCTCGATGTTTTAATCCTTCTCGGGCGTATTTCGTGATAGCCATCTCACTAAGATTATGACGTCGTCCTAGCGCAGAGACACGAAAAATGAACTCAGTTATTGTTTCGTTTTGCCTTCGTGCAACGCGCGACATATTGTAATGTATATCCGCTTCATCGTATTCGCAACCGAACTCGGTGACAAGCTCATTTGAGAACTCCTTCCAAGTAGCATGCATTTTTGGTGATGCGTCCACCCACATGCGCGCTACACCCTTCAAACGGCTATACACTGCAAGAAGCACACTTTTTTCGGGCCACGCATATACAGACATAACAGCTTCAACACGTTCGACAAATTGCGTAGCCGTAATAGAATCTTCATTCGTTGGGTCGAATTCGGGTAGGACTTCTGCGATTTCTCGTATAGAATGCGCGTTACGGTCCTTGCTAGGCATTTCTGAAGTACTGTTTTGATTGTTTCTACCGTTATTCTGGTTAATGGCCACTTGTTGAACCATTTGCCGCAGTTCGCTAATTTGTTTTCTCAATTCTTCGTTTTCACCCCGCAATTCATCATTATCGTTCGTAAATTGTAAAACTACGCCGCTTGCCTTCACGTGTTCAGTTAATCTTGCAACTAATTCTGCTTTATTGCCTGTAGTTGATAACTCTTGCTGTTGTAAGAAGTCCTTCAACTGTTCCTTCGTCAGTGTCTCGATGGTCACCATCATTACGTATATATATGCGTTCGTTTGTTTTTTAATTTTCTGCGCCAAATATTACTTACGTTTTAATTACTCCCCTTTTGGACATTGATTCAATCCCACTTCTGAACTTTAAACTTTGGTTTTTATTTAAAACAATATATTTCTTATATACATATTTAAACAACATATTTATACACATAGTTAAAACAATATCTTTATACACGACGCTACCCATCGAACTTCCGTTATTCTACTACACTCGATTGTGTCCTTTTCTGTCAAACATAGGTTAGGTGACCACATGTTGTTAAAAATTTTAAGGTGCCCAGTTGTGCGTTTCGGATGTAGGTTAACATATATTTTTCATATAAATAGATTTTATTTAATTATAAAATTTATAAAATATTTATATTATCGCATTTATAATTTTAATAATATAAAATTTATTAAAAATAAAAATAAATAATATAGTCGATTATCATTAATTTTTCTTTTCTTTGTAGGTGTGTTCTTTTTTGACTTCAAAGATGTTGACGATAATATTGATGACGTTGGCAGTAACGGTGAGGATCACTATCAGAAATTGATACGAAGGTGTTGTCCATAGACAAATTCTCCAAAATTCTATATACGTTATTGACACGTTATTCTATATGACGTTATTGACTCGTTACTCCACGATGAGGGCTTCGTTGAAAACCACAATACATTGCTGATTCTTTGTTTTTTTTAAAAAAAAAAAGTATTTAACATAACATTAACTATTAAATAAAACATATACTCGTATTATTAATCGTAAAAGATTATGTGGTTTTAAGTACAAAAAAGTAATGATATGATAGAAATTCACCTTATTGAACACTTACCTAAAATGTTGAGTGAAGTGCACTTTCCTTTGAACTTCGGACGCGGTTACCATAAAACCAGTTTCACCTTTTTCATCGAAGAAGATTTTCCTCCCATAGTTCTACGATTCCACACGCATTCCGGGTGACTTTTTTTTGTTTTACATTAAACACAATTTATAAACCAAACTTAACCTGAAATAAATATTTTTTATTAAATAATATATGAAATTTTATAATTATATCAAATATTTGACAAATAAACTTATTTTCATATTTTTATGTATTAATTATATATTTTATTTACAAAATAATTATTTATTTTTTTATTATATGTTTAAAAAAAATTCTTACCTGTTGTTTGTTTTGGATTTTGAATGTTTGTTTATGTTTACATTTTGCTTCATATGTCAAATATGTCAAATTCCGATCATTTTCAATGTTGCATTCGTCATATTTGGTATAATTTTGGTCGAATTTTGTTTACTATATTCTATAGTATATGAAAAAGCATGGAAGCTCTTTGTATGGCTAATGCAATTTACTCAGTAAATGAAGCTACGTAGTGGAAAGTGTACTATAATGTGAGTTATGGTATATTCATTTTCATCATAATGTGAACAGGTAAAATCTATTCAGATATGATTTTCTTATTAAGCAAACGAAAAAAATCATAAAGAAAAGAATTGATTTTCAATATTAATCAAGATATAAATAAGTTCACAAAAAAATCTACCAAAAAAAAACTTTTACCAAGAAATCAAAAAAAAAAAATAATACTTTATTATATTCTAAAAATTTTTACTAAATAATGTGTGTTTGACTGGTATATTAAGTGTTAGGCTCTTTTTTTCGTGAGTTCTGTTCTTGTGTGCACATTCCTTTTAATTATAATTAATTAAATTAATTACATATTAATTACTTATGCTTATGATTGTAAAACAAATAATATCAATGTTACTTTAAAAATTTTCAATAACTTCCACAAAAGTATTAGTTCATCATAGAAGAAGAAAATTAAGATCAATCACAATATTTAGATATTCTCTTACTACTACGACAATCGTATATTGACAAAATGTAATCAGAAGCTAACAGTCTTTTAACGAATTATAATATTCAATTCGAAACTTGTTCGAATTAAGAGACGCAAGTTTCTACGAGGAGGTTAGAAATAATCCAAACTAAGTGATCCACAAAATCTCACAATTCAAAAAGAAATAGCCCTATTTTTAAAAGTATTGTATACATCCCCTAATTTTCTGAACAAATCTCAGCATCTAATATTTATGATAAACAACAAATAAAATAACAAATAAAAAACAAAAAATACAACGAATACGATATACTGTAACACCAAATCAAAAATTGACGTAATGGATAAACTCAATGAGACGGATCTAACATCTGCAACCCAGTATATGTTGGGACAACAAAAAACAAATTGAAGACACGTATACCTAGACACAATCATATCATTCAGCATATAAAAGTATTAAAATTAAAATGGCACTAGTTTCACATTTTATTAAATCAAAGCCTATGCCGACATAAGTGGATAAAAACACTTTCAATAAATCGGGAACAGGTCGTTTGATTGTTACTGAATTGAATATTTGTTTTTTTGTCATATGTATTGAATATTTGTGTATAATGAACTGATATAATATCAAAGCCTTGAAGAGAACTATAGACTATAGTCGAAATATAGTTGAAAATAAAATATTCTTTTTGATAATAATTTAAAAAGTTATGTATAATTGAAACAATGGACTGTTCCCATGCACCGTTGAAGAAAATAAAAAATTAATATACTAAATATAATTCTTAAAAAAATAGAAGTCTTCAGAAGTAAAGGGCAAAACTTTTTAGTAAAATTATAGTATAAGTCATTATTTTGGAAATTGCAATTATTTTTCTGTAAGCAGATAATTTCAACTATATATAGTAATATTGGTAATATTGGTGTAATGTGAACTTCAGACATTCACTTCCATTTTCACATTTAGTTTTCTGTAGAATTGAAAGTGAAAGAACAAACCAGAGTGTTTCACAGTTAACGAACAAAAGTATCAGAAACAATTATGTAGGATTTTACAACGATTGAATTCCAATTAATCGATTGCGTAGAGAGATATTTAGTGGGTATTATGAGTACTGACGTTCGTTCAGATGGTAATGTTAAATTAAACATTAAAAAAACGTTGGTAATATGAACTTATATTTTTAATTTTAATTCAGTTAAATTCTTATATCAGTTTTTAACACTCTTATGTGCATCATAAAGACTTTGTTTCTCTTAGTTTTACTAGAGCGTTTTATAAAGTCTTTTTTAAATACAATGTTGAAAAGTAAGCATGACAGTACATCCTCTAATTCTAGTCACTTATGTGAATAAGAAATCTTGATGACAGATTGTTTTGAATTTATACTCATATACTTCCTTACGGCTACTTTGTTACGACAGTACGACAGAATTATAGGCACCTTTATTATACTGTATTTAATCTAACAGTTTGGTTTCATTTTCTGTAAATCGTTAACGGTTGCCAGGTTTCCTACCATAACCTTTTTTAATGAGATGGGTTGTTAAGGAACCACTAATTTCCTGCAAAAGGGCTTGTGTTTTGTGAAAGTCCTAAGATCACAGTAATAAGAATAGCTACCGTCAGTCTTCTTTAAGATTACGTGTATTTAAAATTAATGTTTTTAAATAACCGCAAAAATATCAATAAAAATGATTACCGTACTTAATTACAACTGAGTTTACTTTTGCCTAGCTATTAAAATTAGGTTTTTGCCACAGTGAAGCATGTTGTTTTTATATGAAGAGGATTTCAAATTTCAGATTTCAGATTTCAGAATTCCGAATTTTTATGAATATACACACATATATGTATATGAGTTAAGACGTTACAAATTATTACATATTCATATATAATATATTTTTGCACATTAAACTCATTACTTACGCACATACATACATTTGTGTATTAAAAATGTTTTTTAAACACAAGTACTCTTTATATATACCTATGATCAATTGATTTTCTCTAAAAAATAGAAATCATATGAAACTAAAAATATCTAAATATTTTTTATATGTATCAGACATTATTTTTATAAACACGTTTATATTCATATACGTATTTTTGCACACAAGAATATATCACCCTGAATTCATATAAAAATATAAATAAATAAATAATATAGCAAAAACAAAGAGCTAAGGCAAAAAATTTTAGACAAATCTTTTGATGCAACAGCAACTCTCTGCCGCTACTGATGCTATTGCTTCGAAATTTAAAATTAGTAGTAAATTTAAACGCAATCGTGAGGTATCTGTTCCCATGCACCGGAAAAATAATTAACCTGTGTTGCGAACTGCTGTTGTTTTGTACGTTTTGCATAATATTTATCACTGTAATAGTGCTTAGAATTGCTCGAATAATCGAATCATAGAAAGAAATAATAAAATAATTATGTGGTTATGGAAATCCTATAATTATCGAGATGATAAGTGCATTTAAAATTAGAACAGTTGTGTAAATTAGTTTTTATAACTACAAAAACAACAAAAACAACAAAAACAACAAAAATAAATTAAAATATAAAAATAAAAATTAAGTGATCTCTTAAAAATGTATGCATGGATCTTATAAATAAGTATCCATCCAATTGTTAAAGCAAAAATATAATGTCTTTTAAAAATTAAATGCATATATTATTTTGTGATAATAAATATATTTACATAAAAACATTTTTATCTTTCAATAAACTTGTGAAATAATTAATTTTAAATTAAAATTTTATAATTATAAAGGGTCTCTATGAAAAAATATCAGTGTATAGTATGCAATGTGCTAATTTTAAATCTAAGCACAAAATTACTCACATTTAAATATTTATATTCAATTACATGCTTTGATTTTCTTATTCCTCTCTTATATCTATTATTTTTCATAGTCTATTGCACTAAAAATAAATGTTTTAGCCAACCTCCCCAAATCCCCTTATTTAAGTGTATTGCGTGAAAAGTTTTCCAGAAGGAAAATATATATATGAAGATATAAAATAAAAATAAAAAATACAAAATACAAAAGTTATCGGATTTCACTTCCCACAATGTGAACAGCTCATGCGCAATATAATTTCAAATATAATTTTTTTAGAACAGAACAAACTTTACTTTAAAAAAATAAAAAAAGTATTTTAAAAACATTCGAATAACATTTACACTCTTTTTAAACGCTACTCTGATAATAAGACCAGTTAAAATATGTTGACCAGAATAGACGCCTTGTAGAGCCTTGAAGACCTATTATATTTTACAACCTCCATTTCGTTGTGCTCAGATGTGGAATTAATTTTCATTAATATGTCTGTAACAAATAATTTGATTATATTTTGTCCATATTATATTTTTTAGAAAGAGAAAGAAAGCAATTAAAATAAAAATAAGAATAAGAATTAAATATTTTTTATTTATAACAGGAAAATTAAAATTTTTTTATTTTACTCTTAAGAACTCACATGAAAATAAATCGAAATCTTTTTTGTTCTTCAAATTGTTCTTCAAAATTGTTTGCTATCGATGTCACGTAATGAAAAATGTGAATCGAGTTATATATAATTGTAAACATTAAATTTACGTAAATATTTTATAAAGTTATCTCCAAAAAATGTGTTTTCTATTGCAGGCATACAAATTAGCACCAAAATAATCACTGCAATCCATAAACACATTTAAACCTACAACAGCGCACACAAAGTGCATCGCAGAACTTGTTTGATTGAATATATTTCGTATAAGCAGACAAGATATTACAGTTAAAAGCATTTAAGCTCCTGCAGGTGCGCAGCTTGGCTGCTTAGTGTATAAAGTATTCTATGTTGCCACGAATCGTTATAAATTTCTATTTTATAACCACAGTTGGTAATTGAAGCAGGACGCGTAAGATCTCGACATGGGGGTTGCTGAAGATTTCGCCCCCAGTTTTGTAAAAAAACCGCAGCTACGACAAGAAGATGATGGAAATCGATTGATTTTTGAATGTCAATTGCTATCATCGCCTAAACCAGACATACAGTGGTATCGCTCTGACAATTTGCTCACAGAAGATGAAAGAACAAAATTTAAAACTCAGCCTTTAGAGGATAATAAATTCACTGTTATATTAGAACTGGATGATGTTGTGGAAACTGATGCAGGTCTTTATAAAGTGAAAGCAAAAAATAAATCGGGCGAAGTATCAGCATCAATTAATTTAAATTTTACACGTAAGTCACATTTCTTTCCCATTAATTTAATTCTAATAAGGTGAAAAATTTACATATTATTGTAGTTTCGAAAATTAGTTATCAGAAAAATAATAATAAACATGTTGTAATCTACATGCAGCTAATTAAATTTTACATATGGCTGAGACCTATTACTGAAAAATCATTACTAGCAACAAGTCATATCTTAAAAACTATAGTAGTTTTAATAGATTTTTTTTTAATTATATGTAAATTTGTTTATTTTCTTAATTTGGAAATAAGACAAAATTTATTATATATAATAACATTAACAAAATGTTGATTACGAGATAGGCTGATAGATAGTATCAGAGAAGCTGTCATTGTATATTAATTAATATTAATTTATTAATTACAAGTATTGTAATTACACAAAATTAGGTTGTGTAACAGCTGCAATATTTTGTGTCTTCTGCTGCTTATATCCAAAATATTAAGTACAAATTTAAATGACATCTAATGTTCGTGCACAATATATAATACATTAATTTGTTTATTTATTTTCATATTAAAATAATATAGCTGCGGACGAACCCAAAGAAAAGTAAGAAAATAGATTCTTTTGTTATGCTCGAATTGTTTGAATTTTAAAAATATTTTTCTGCTAAAGTAATTTTCTAAAAGCCTAATTTCTATACACTTGCTCAGTGTATGATTGTTATCTGAAATTTGCTTATTACTTATATATATTTCCAATTTATATTAATGCTTTTTTTTATTAATGCTTTGTGGCTTAGAAAATAAAATATCAATCAAGAGCGAAGGGTAAGTTAATAAAGCATTTAAAATTAGTAATAGCATATGTGTACTAGATGCAGTATTCATCAAAAAAAAATAGCACCAATATTTTTTATTCCTTAAAGGTTTTAAATAAATTAAAACAAAATGATGTGACTTGAATAAAATACCTTATTCTTACTACACTGAGAAAAATAATATTTAGAAAAATAATCATATATACATGACTACCATATGCGATTTAAATATATTGTGAACAAAATCGAGCGATAATGATACAAATAAAGTGCGATAAAAAAATTGAAAAGTGTTAGTAAAAAATACGCGTTTTGCACTGAAAAGTTTTTAATCCCAAAAAGGTAAAAAGTTTGTGTTACCGCTTCCATAGCGTCCAGTGTGCGCGAGTTAAAGGTTTTATTCAGTTCGGTGAATAATAAACAAAAATTTATTTATTTATTTAATATTATTTTTTATTTTAAATCACAAGAGTATTTGTTTTACAATATTTAAGTTATTAGATTTAACTTCGGTTAAAGATATCGTAAGAATAACCTCCTACATAATTTTGTTCGTCTATTTATAACAATAATTTGGGTTAATAGCCACATAGGTTATACTTATTTATTTAGGAACAATCCGGTTTAGTTACTATGATATTTGTATTTATTATTTGGCTTATTTAACAAATCTTTAATTAAATATATTTCAATTGCACATTTGTATGCTTAATTTTACACAAATGAGTTAGATTTTTTTCAGATATTTATTTAAATAAATCTTTTAGGACAATCTCCTCTATTAAGTTTTTGTCTATACTAGTAGGTAGATAGATTGTAACTCGCGTGCGCTTTATAAAAACAAAATACACAGTAAACAATAACTTGCATAGCAAAAGCAAACGAAAAAAAAAAAAAGTATTGCCACACTTATACTAAAAAAGCATTCAAACGCAGTTCTACGCAAAATACTGTTTTTAACTGCTTTGACTTAAATAAATCACAAAACACAGAGTGTAAATAAAAAAACCGAAATCTAATTAAATCTCACAACACATACAACGCCGTTATCTGTTCAAGCAGATGCTCAGCTCAATAAAATATCTTTTGACAAGAAAAGAATTCGTTTTTAACAAGAAGACAGTTAAGCGCGGTGCAGAATATCATTTTTGAACGTCATCCAAGTTGTGCTCTCTCTTGCTTCAATTTATTCTAGCGACAGAACTTGGACATGTTCACATTCAAAAGTTGTTATTTAAGCAAAATTTTTGAAGAATAGCTGTTTACGAAAGCTGTAAGTGTGTTAGTGAAACCCCGCAAAAATATGCTCTTGAATGACGAATGCAAGTTTTTGGGTGACAGGCTATCATTTACAGCATGTTGGCGGAAAGCTGAATGTCATTCTTAAGTTTTCTCTCTTGAATGACACTCAAAAATGATAGTCTGCTTTAAGGATAAAACTGTTATAAGAAACTGTAACTGTAACAATATACTTTAAAATAATCCTAAGTGTGTTTGCAATATACTTTGTCCCTCGTGTTGTATGCTACAACACCATACTGCTTTATTTAGTTTTGCATTGATACAGCAGATCACTGCAAACCAGATACTTTCATTGTTCCCATTTCAATTTGAGTTCTGCCATTTTGTTTTTAATTTACGCTTTTCAATGTAGTTTCACACTTAAACTAAGTTTCATTCAGTTTCAAGAACTGGTTTGATTGAATTCCATGCGCCATTTATTTTTTCAATCTTTGACGATGTTGCTTACGGCTACTAAAGCCTTATCATAAGTAACAGTTGCTGTTCTGTAATTAAAGTAAGTTGTTCAGAGGTTTCAAAATTGTAATTGAAAGTTATAGTTTCCATATTTTTATATTTTCCCCATATTTTTGTCTAGGAAAACTGATGAGCGTGCAATTCTACCTTTTGGGCATTTGATTTATCCTAAGTTATCCATATTTGATTACGTCAAATATTGCATATATGTTATTTTCCAGAGCGAAAAGTCAGTAGAGTTGTTCGGCGAAATCAAGTACTGAATAAGAGTTACAGTAACCTTAGTACTAATTTTATTAAATATACTTTTATCAACTAGAGATTACAATTGTTGCCATTATTGACTTATTCTTTTACAAACTAGCTCTAGGTAACTGTTACATTATAGAATTGGATCATCATAACAACTAGAATCAAGTCTCACTTTTCTCAACAAGGTAGACCAGAAATTTCAAAGCTGGAAGCTTTGGTTGAAAACAGGTTGTGACTGTACGGTTTTGTTCAGGATGACTATAATTTACCGTTTGATATTGGGATATTCTATAGATTTGTTATTTTAACCTTAATTCGAAATTAAAATCAATTGGTAGCACAAAAGACTTATTGTCGATTGCACAATCAATAGCAGTTTCTTGTTGTAATTTAACGAAGCGTATAGAAGAATTCGTAACAATCTAATTTCATTGCAGTTGTATGGCCAGAGAATAAACTAAATAAAATTTTGTTAATTTATAGAATGCAATAAAAATATTGGTAAATTTAATTACAAACAGTAAATATTTGCGAACCATTTTTTCTGGTCTATAGAATTTCGGTTTAAATGAAAACTACTGTATTTCCTTTATACACAATTTTTTGAGTAACTCTTATCTTTTCTTTGCTTTCTTTGGTTTACATACACGGTTTTAAAACTCCCATAGAAACAGGCAATGTAGTAGCCAAAGTTACGCAATGGTGTAGGATTGAAACATAAATTTTATTGGACCCCATGTGATATTGTTTTAATTCCTGACAGGAAGTAACTTTGTTTTCTTTCTTCAATAAAGAGAAAATTTTTAGTGTGTAGATCATTGGACGAAAGTGCTTTCTTAGTACACCATTCATCAGTTGTTCAATAAGATGCAAGGAAACATGAAAATACTCACACTTTAGAAAATGATTGATGGATAGAACAGTGCATACTACCTATGAAGTCATTCAAGTACAGATTGGCTTTTGATTGCTGTTTGAAATAATGTTGTAACAAAAAGAGCAAACTTAATATGCTTAACTATATAGAAGTTTAAATAAAATTTATTTATGGTAATCGTAGAGTAAGGTTTTAGAATTTTAAATATATATATTTTTTTTAATGCATAAAACCTTACTTTTTTGTTGGGAAAAAACGAAGTATTTAAATCGACGAGTTGGTGCTATTTATTTGATCGTTGTTACATGCATGACAAATAATTTAATAAAAAAATAACTATTAATCTTTAACTCAACCTTATGTACTTTTGATTCTGTTTATTAAAAACGCTGTATTGACTTTGTAGACGTATAAAAAATGTTCTTACACTTAATTTCATTTGAGTACTAATCATGAACTTGTTAATGTGTGCATTGCATTGAATATATAAAACTTAAAAACTTTAATTTAATTTATAAATTCAAGGCAAATTGATGGTTTTGCGCCTACATTTGCTAAGAAGCCGGCTATCCGACAGGAGGATGACGGCAAACGATTACTATTTGAGTGCAGGGTAAATGCAGATCCTAAACCTACAATTATTTGGTACCACAATAGCGCAGCAGTTAAGGAAACTTCAAGACATAAGGTAATAACAAAATATATCATTTTTCTAATATCGCATTTCAATTGCTTTTAATATGAAAGTTGACTATTGACAAAGATGGGCACTCATATTTTGCAACACTGGAAATTAAAAATGTTACAGTTGAGGATGCTGGCAAATACAAAGTGAACGCAAAAAATGAGTTAGGTGAAAGCAACGCAACAATAAGTCTAAATTTTGACAGTAAGTAAAGTGCAACACTTCCTTTTTCTTTGTAATTAAAGTAAAAGTGTGAATGCATATCATTTTTATGAACATCTATTTGTGATTTTGTTACAATTGTTACAAGCGCTGGAAAACTATAGATATATCTTAAGGTGCTTTCATTCATTAACTCCTCACAAAATACAGCGGCTCTCGCATATATTTTAACGCAATTAGAACTTTACTTATAATTTATTTTAAAAAATAGTTTTTATAAACCTGGACGCACTGGATTGATTTATAAGGATTAATATTCGAAGGTTAATTTTTGTGTGAGGCCAGAATAGATCGATTATTTCGTATTCAAGCATTGCACTTAATTATACCTGTATACGAAGCACTGATCAAAAAAATAACGAAGAAAGAGTTTGTGAATGTATTTTAATGTCTTTGATGACATTATTTTCAAGACTGTCTCAGGACAGCGTCCCCATACTAAATAATTAAACCAACAAAAAACAATCTAAATGCATAAAGGCATTTTTAAGACTAATAAGTAATCTCTTAAGTGGAATCACTCAGTGTACCAGGCATATTCTGAATATACTTTAAATTTAATGTTGAAAAGAACAATCTTGTAAATAAAATAGTTGCTGAAATGCTAAGCTTGTTTTCATGTTGCTGTATATAAGAAGGCAATCACATCAAAGCATTAATATATTGAAAATAACTAGTCAAATAATAATAAGTCTTATTTAAATTTTTTCACTCTTGGCAGATATCTATTTAAAAATGCTTTAAATAATTTAATTATTTAACTAATTGTATCATCCACTATAAACAATTATTGAAATTGAGATGGCGAATAATGCAAACAGTTCATTTTTATTTGTTCAATAAATCACTAAAGTTAGATTCAATATTTCAAAAAATTAAATGCAGTGAGAAGAAAATATATAAAAGGGGTTTTACTGCTTGTGTTAAATGTTATCGTATAAAAGAGATCTTACCGAAAGTGTAAATTCTACATAAACTCTATATTGTATGTACGAGCTTTTGCTCACCTTTTTAACTATAAAATTAACAACTTTATAAATGTATGAACGTATTATTAATTTTTTCCCAATAATATGTATATATCCTTTGCAAATGATTTTGTCGCATTAGATTATATCTGTACTTAAACCGTTTGTACCTTGAAATTTAGGCGACGAAGCACCTGTTCCCGATGATGGTATAAAGCCAACATTTACCGAACGACCTGTTATTCATCAAAGTGAAGATGGCGGAAATGTTACCTTTGAGTGCAGATGCGTTGGAGATCCAAAACCAAACATTGTATGGTACGAAATAATGTTTCTTAAAAATGAGAGAGTTGTATTTTTAGTTGCATTTGAAGCTACAAAAAAAAGAACTTTTAAAATACTAAATTCGTACAGGGATTTTGCTAACTTGATTTTTAATTAACTTAGTTTTGTTAGCAAAAGTAAACAAATTTAAATTTCTCACGCCTAAAAAGAATTCAATTGTATGTATACATAAAACATAGTTAACCAATGTAATATATACATATATACTCAAGAATTTATAATTGGCTTTTAATGAAAACAGGTTAATAAAATTTTTGTTTATATATTTACTTTTAACACCGTTCTTATTGTAAAATGAAATATGTAATTCGTATGTAACATTATGTGCATTGTAAAGGTTTCACGGAAGTGAAGAATTGAAAGAAGGTGGTCGTTATAAGATGACATTGACTTTGGACCAAAAACTCTATCATATGGCGCGCTTAGAAATAAGTAAGGTTATATCAAGTGATCAAGGGGAATACCGTGCAAGAGCCCGAAACCACATTGGAGAAGGTGTTGCAACAATTAATCTAAATTTTGAAGGTGGTTCTAAAAAGTAAGGAACAAATTACTGTACAATATATGAAAAACACTCAACAAGTTATCCATTATTTTAAAACAATCAGTAGAATGTGTTGAGTATGTTTCACAAATGTTTGGACTTCGGTGTCCTCAACTTAACTTAATGCAATTATGAACGTAGTTGCATATCCATTTATTCTTTATTCTGTACATTTTCTCGAGTATCCGAGAATTCGATACGTCCGTATATTAATGATGGTAATATAAGTCTAAAATAATTCGTATTTAAACATATTTTCTGTTACCCTTTATTTGATTCTTTGAGTTTTTATTCATATTTTGGTCTTGATTTTTTTTGTTATTTCTTATTCTGTCTAAATTTTTCTTTAAACATCTTTTTTTCTTTTTCCATCTGAATATAATTCAGAATTCCTGATGGTAAATCTCCTCGTTTTCCAAAAAAGCCAACTATTCGTCAAGAAGAAGATATTCTTATCATGGAATGCATATTAGAGGCCCATCCAGTACCAGATATAACTTGGTATTGCGCTGATAAACAAATTAATGGTTCTTCACGAATGAAAATGTCTCGTAAGGCAATATCTAAGGATACATACATATTGACATTAGAAATACAAAATCCGACAAAGGAAGATGGTGGAAATTATCGGTGTAATGCTTTTAATATGTTTGGTGAAAGTAACGCTAATATTGCCCTCAATTTTCAAGGTACATAGATATTTGTTAAACATTAATTAAACCAATTAAACATACTCATAATAAGAATTATACAATTTTAAGCATATATCTATAAATCAGTTAAGTCTAAATTTAGTTACCAAATTAAAAATTGAGAAGAGTTTGTATATTATTACGAGTAATATTTTAAAAGGGTTGTATTGGCCAGAAAAAAATAAATTATAAAATATAGAACTTATTAAAATGTAATATTTAACCGGTAAGCACTATGCAAAATGCAGCGATAATTCGGAATATTCGGTAATCCAGAACTTTCGAATATAATTGTCCGGATTATCGAGAGCATAATGTATTATTAATATTCATTATAATTTTCATTTCAATTTTGGCGGGACTTAAACCATTATATTGCGGGTTGTACTTGGGTAGGTGTTGCCAGTGATAATGTTTTCTGATCAATGCACTTTTCGATGTTTCATCTGTGATAAAATATACAATAAATTATAGTATTGGAAAACTATAATATACATAAAATATTATCACAAACTTTATTTTCGTCGATAATATTTTTATATAATATAATATTTTTATATATTGCGAATTGTTACGGGTTTTTTCGATTCGCAACCTTTCATTTGCAGAATTTTTCGTATTTTTATTTGCTGTTTTGACAAATCCCATCTCTAACGGAGATATTAATGCTGAAAATTATTTTATCTGTTCTACAGCTTTGCTTTCCTGTTAGAATACATTCTCGATCCTTAACAGTATTTTGTATAAAATTACAAAAACATACACCTTACATGCAAATTGCATTTTATATATTTTTGTTTTTAAAAATATCAGGCACGCGGTGTAGGTCATATTTTGTTTTCAAAAATAAAAGTTATTCTTGAATTTTATATTTTGAAAGCAAAAATAATAGTTATTTGTGAGTTTTGAAAAAAGCTTGAAAAAATAAAAGGCGGATATGTAATTTATTTTTGATGAATATATATTGAGCAAATTTAATTATTATATTTTGAGTTTTATTTTAAAATGCGAATGATAACAGTTATAAGGTGATTTTTATTTTTTTAATGATATTGTTATGGTCCCTTATTGTAAAAGCTTTTTTCGAAAATTGTTTATAACTGTTTATATATATACATATATATATTTTGCTGTTGACATTTTTTTGCTGTTGACATTTTTTTGCTGTTGACATTTTGTCTTATATTTACTAATTGTAAATATACTAACAAAATCTTTAAATTTTATTTTTCAAACTCAGTTATTAAGCAACAATCATTTTTTTAGTTTCGGAATTCATTTTTGTTGAACAAATGTGATTTTATAAATCAGCTGTTAAGCAAAATGGGAAATTCTTATTGAGAATGGCGAATGTAAATGCCATAGAAGGTTTTATAAAATCTTCTTTGGTAAATACTTTCAAGTGATTCATTGCAAAAGAGTCATTTAGTGCTAGTTAAACGCAGCATTAGAGTTAAGTTCGAGTTCATTCTCATTTATCTCATATATACCTATGCTTACAGCAATAAACTTAAGCTTAAAAATGTGTTAAAGTTTTAAAGTTAAGATCAATCTTACAATACTTTGCTCATCATTTCTTTAATTCGAACATATCATTGATTCTGTCTGGTTTTGAACAAGCAAGTTAACTGATGTTTCATATTTATGCTTATAATCTTTGCATATATACTCCATTTATACTTGCTGAGTTTTTGTCAAAGATTTTTTAAACTTATATGATATACTAATTCATAGTTTTTGTATTTTATTTATTTTACATAGTTCAGGTCTATACTTAAATAACCCCGAAGTTTCGAAGGTTTTTGATGTCCTCTTGCAACTGATTTTACAAACATCAAATTGGTATTATTTATATTATAAAATAATCACATGTTTTCTATTATAGGAGTACCAGGTTGGTCACGCTTATCTTGTCGGTGTCCTTTTTTCCTGTTCGTTGTTTTGTTTAAACTTTTTTAAGTATGAAGGCTCTCTAGTGTCGCTTGCTGCGAACTACATATTTATCTATTATTTTTACTTTGGTGAGGTCTGCTGTATGTTTTATTACTTTTGATATCGTTCTTTTAGGCGACTCCTAATGTTCCCTTAGTTGTTCCTACATATATTTGTATTTTATTTCTTTTGATTTATAGGCAATTACGTTGTAGGTGATCGTTTTATTGAGATGTTTGTTTATATTTTATTGAGATGAGTTTAGGAATATAAGGTAGACTGAAAATTATTTTTGTTTCGTTATGGTGGGGTCTGTGGTTTTCGGTTTATTGTTGTCTTTATTATGTTTTTTATGAATTTTAGGAGAGGTTGGTTTTGAAAAGTGTGTATTTCATAATTTTTAAGATACATTGATTGGTTGGATAAGAAGTTAATTATTATACTAGACGATATATGTTTTCTAAACCCGATAAATTTTAGTGTGTTGCTTTCCCTGTAAATTTTTGTTACAGGAACCGCTTGTGTGTTTTGCGAATTTGTCTTCATTTTGACCTCGCAGCTCACCTATTTGATTCTATGCGGCTAGTTTTCGTAAATGCATTTTCAAATTTTCCATTTGTTAATAAAATATTTCCAACTAATACAAAGATACCATAACAACAATATCGGCAATTTTTGCTATCGAAGGTTATCCTTTAATTTTAGTAAGTGTCTATAGTCTGCAGGTTACTTCAGGCAGATTTTACACTCTTTGTAACTTACAACTTACTCGCATAACAAAAGCTTCATTTCAAGCGTTTTATACAATTTTTTAAACCAGAAGTAAAGAAGAGCATTTAAGGTGGTTTTCCAGTATAATCTGCTATAATAAAATATGTGGCTTTGTATAGTTTTACACCAAATATACAGTGAAAAGCTCCAGCAGAATTACACGATGAAGAAGTTCAAACAAAAAATTTAATCTCAAAATTATTCAATACGGAATAATTGATCATTCAATCGAAAAATGCGACTATTAACTGGCATGTTAACTAGGTAAAACGTAGGAACAGTAGCTACTGTTCAGACTGCACAAGCAGGAATGCGGATGTGTTACATTTTTGATCTTTCAATTCTAAAGTAACTCCATCACATCAAGAGAAAAAACACTTTTATTATCATCTTTACAGATCAGAGCGGATGGAACAAAATGAAATGGTAGTACGTTATGTTAACAGCAGTATATGCGCCGAGACGTTAATTGTTACAGTTTTTAAGTTTAGGAAATATAAAATATAATGTGTATGAAGCTATTTTAAGAAGGAGCTTAGTCATATCGTAAACTCAACTTTGTAGGTAAAGCTTGTAAGATACAGTAAAGTAAATACAAGAATAAGAAGTCAGTCGATGGTGAGGCTTAAATGCGTGCATTTTACTCGAATAAAACAGATACATTTCCTAGATCTGGTCTACATATGCTTGGTTTCTCCTGTGCGTTGTCTTGTTGTCTTGTTATTGTGGTGGACTTTTGTGCATGTGCCTAGCGGTCTTTTTGTTGTTCAAAGCTTTGTAATTTACGTGTTTACTACATGATGAACATATGATTTCATTATCAGTCGAATAAAGTTCGAAACGCCAACAGTTTTCTCATTTTGCAACACATAAGCCTTAAACAACATGAATAATAACAATATTATTATCAGGGTTCGTATTTGATCACTCATGAGCAGCTCAGGCTCATGAGCAAGAGCGAATTCTTATGTGAACCCAAAATTGGCTCATGAGCGTGATCCTAAAATTGGCTCATATTGAAGAGCTGCTCACCAACGTGAGCCTTCACGTTGCTTATATTGAAGAGCTGCTCATGAGGTCTCACAAGCCGAGAGCTCACGAGCTCAACTGTGTAATAAAAAGCGATTTATTAGTTTATTTGCTTTATTTATTTTTATAAATGTCATATGTGAAAATATATTATTTGAAATTAACTTAGCTTATTATTATTTATATTAAACAATATAAAACAATAATTTGAATTTGAAAAACAAATTTATAAAATATTATTATTTTCCACAAATAAACAATCAATCAATCAATCATATTATAGTTAGATCAAGTTTATTAAGATTTTAAATCTTTTTTTATAACATGTTTTCACACAAAAAAAATAATAAAATCTTAAATTGGGTGCATGAAATTTCATGAGCCGCAGCTCATACTCTTGCTCACGAGCGTGAGCCCATTTATAACTTACTGGCGGCTCTTGCTCGTGAGTTGGGCTCGCTCGTGAGCGTGAGCCATCGTATGAAAAGAGTTTTTTGCCGGCTCATGAGTCGTGAGCAGAATGAGCCAAAATGAGCCGCTCATGGGTACGCAGATACGAACTCTGATTATTATTAAATAATAATAATACTAAATAAAATATAGTAATAAAAAAAGATAGATAAAAGTGAATTTATGTCTATTCTAATATATTTTATTTTGCTGTTTTGGATAGCTTTCAACTTTTCTAGGAGTGTTGTTTTTTAATTGTTTTTCTTTATAAACAAACATACCAATAAATTAGCAGTTAAAGGCAATGAAAAATTTTAAAAGAACAGAAAATATTCCAAAATGTAAAATGTGAATTACGACAAGAGTGATGCAAAAAATGACAACCTAATTTATCAACAAGTTTTTCGTAAGCCTATAGGAAATCCTCTGGCACATACTATTGCTGACATAGTATTTGCTGAATTGCTTGACACAACCATAGCAGAATTAAGAACCAGCTATAACATAGATTTTCTCTATAACATATATAGCAGAAAAACATACATATAAAATTCACAACAAAATGTATATACAAATCTAATCACAAAGTATTCTTACTCTTCAGCAATGAAAAAAATCCGATAGAAAAAAATTAATAATAAAGATAATACTGGTAATAAAGATAATACAGCACAGCTTTAAAGAGAATCCCCAGCTATTTTTTGAAAATATGAAAATGCTTGACGTAGAGAAAACGACCACGAAGAGATTTATCCAAAGAACCTGTAAATTTAAGAAAATATTGGTGAATATAAGCCATGACAAAATGTAAAAGTTGTATAATATAACACAATACAACACAATATATAATTAAATAATAATAATAAATAAAAGAATAGTAGTATATAGTATTTAATAAACTTAAGGTTTGAAAAAATATGCACAATAGGTCTTAATCGACTGAGGCCATTAGGTTTACAGAAATTTTATGGTTTAATTCGACAGAGGTCTTTACTTTACGTCTTGCATCGATTGGTAGTGTAATTGGTGAAATAAATGAAAGAATAGTGTACATATTTTCATTAAATGAACTATTTTGATTTAATATTAAATATTATAAATAAAATGATGTTTCTATTTTGTTATTAACACGTAATATAATATCTACATTAATTATACCACACAAGGTACAAATAAATTTATTCATTTTTTTAAACATCCTTTATTATATATAAATAGTACAATCTATACTATTTGTTAATTTATTACTATTGCTGAATTGTACTTCATAGATATTGAGTAATACGTGTGGGGGTTTACTGAACCAGTGTTCAGCTCCTATAGAATAAATTTATATATGACTGTTTAAGTCTTCTCAATACAAATGTCATCGTCATAAAATATCATGAAACGCCAGTAGAAGCTAATGAAACTAAATATGGCATAACTATTTTCTAATTACCTAATTAATTAATTTAATTAAAAAGTATATTTTCACAATAAACCGTTGCTTAAAATTTTAGAATTTAATGAAGATTACAGAAGATTATCGTCTGTATAATTTCAATAACATTACAAAAAATTTTATATTCAAAAAATATTGTACAAATAAGTATATTTTTATGCAAAAATAAGTTAAAACAATTAAAGCTTAATAAATGCTAGGACTAATAATTTTCATGTTTTTTGGAAGTAAATATATTAATTATTATAAACTTTAAGTCCATGCCTTATTGATACGCTTTTTCATTGCAAATTTCTGAGCTTACGAAGAATAAGTTATTTAAAACTCATTATTAAACTTGTTTTTTTATGGCTTTTATATTTAAATATATTATAAATATATATCTATATAAAATTTCATAATGAAGGCGCTAATGATGCTGATGGATTTGCACCTTCATTTATCGAAAAACCACGAATTATACCTAACGACTCTGGAACTTTGATAACGATGAAATGTAAGTGTAAAGCGAAACCCGAGCCAACAGTGACCTGGTACAGAGGTCAGGATATTGTTGAAAAAAGTAATAAGAATAAAATAAAAACGACTATAATCGAAGAGGATACATTTCAGCTTACTCTGGAAATAAAGGTTTGTAAAGTTATACTCATTGCAATTTGTTCAGTAAAATGATTAAATATAATCACAGGATCCAGGCGCAGCAGATGGCGGTACATACAGATGTAATGTACAAAATGAATATGGAGAATCGAATGCTAACTTAAATCTAAACATTGAGGCTGAACCTGAACCAGAAGGAGAAGGCCCAACATTTGTTGAAAAGCCTCGAATTATTTCTGAAAACAATGGCAAATTAGTAATAATGGAGTGTAAAGTAAAGGCGGATCCTAAACCAGATATAGTGTGGTATTGTAACGACAAAATTATAAAAGAGAGCAATAAAATAAAAATGTCTATGGAGCAACGTGGTGATCAGTACTACATTAAACTGGAGTTACTAGATCCCCAACTCGAAGATTCAGGTCTCTATAAATGCAATATTAAAAACTTGCTTGGAGAACTAAATGCCAATCTAACATTAAACATTGAAAGTAAGTAAAAAACTATTAATTTTTCCATAAGTTTAAATAACTTATAAAAATAGGTACCTCTATAATCACTTAATGTTTTCTATTTTTTTTTTTGGTTTTTAGTCGTACCTGTGATTAAAGATAAACCTAAAATAATTAAAATAATTAAGAAACGTACAGTACTGATTGAATGCATGGTGGCATCGAAATTCAAACCTAAGTGTACTTGGTACAAGGAGACAAATGCTGTTGAAGAAAGTGCGCGACATGTTTACATTGTAGAACAAACAAAAGAAGGGGAGTTTGCTGTAAAATTGGAAATCAACGAAGTTGAAAATAGCGATAAAGGCTCTTATAAACTTGTTGCTAGCAACGAAAAAGGTGAAGCAGTATCCCAAATTGTTAATTTAACTGATATCCCTGAAGAGGATCGTAAATCGAGTAAGCCACAAATTGCTCGAAAACTAGTTGATCAAACAGTTGTGGAAAGCAAAACGTTTGAATTGCTGATAAGCTTGAAGCAAAGCGATCGCAAATGCAAAATAGAATGGTACAAGGGAACTACTTTGATAAAAGAAACTAAAGACATCACAACAACATTTGATGGAACAACTGCTCGTCTTACTTACAATGCAGCGAAGCAAGAACACACGTCAGTGTATAAAGTTATTGTAAGCAATGATATAGGCAAAGACGAATCCGTTTGCAAAATAACAGTGGAAAAACCGAAAGACAAAAAAAAGAAGGAGGAGGAAGAAAAAAAAGAAAAGAAGGAAGTGGAAACTAAGCCTGAGGTAATGAAAAATTTTTTATTGATTTTAAAATAAATAAATGGTAGCTCTGTTCCACGAGCTATTTGTAGTAAAACTCAAGTAAAACACAAGTAAAAATTCACACGAAAATTATGGTAGCTGGTGGAACGCACTTGTGTATACACAGTGTTACTCAAAGTTACTACGAGTAGCTCGTGGAACAGACCTGGTATTAGATGGGACAAAAAATTCGAAATTTAAAATTTAATTTGAAATTTTTAATTGTGTCTGACATTTCTTTTCTTTGCCTGAATACTTCATAAAACTGGCGCTTTTCTGTGAAGGCTTGTTTCAAGACATCGTTATATCGTTAAACTGCTTTGATGTCTTGATGATGTTTGGTGTTACGCATAATTCTTTGTTGACATTGAAAATGTGTATGTATATACGGAAGATTTTGTGATATTTCCATTTTTGCATTTTAGGTGGTGTTTTTTGTTCTATTTTTAACGTTTTTGATGCTATTTCTTCTCAAATAGCTTCAGCAATAATTGGATGTTAAAACGATTTTTCGAAATTCTCCAATTTTATTTTTTTCATCGGTATTTTTCCATATTCGTATTGTATTTTGCAGGAAAATATGCAATTATTGATAAATATGTCATCAAAAAATGAATTTGCATACTCTTTTCGTTATAGACTTTTATATTTAGAATTATAAAATTATAGACTTTTATGAATGAAAAAAGTTGAAGGTCTTAACAGTATATGACGTATTCCACATGTGATTCATATGAAAAACTTGTTGTTTTATAAAGAAAAGGATCACTTCTAAACAAACATTAGCATATCCTTTACGGATTTCATAATTATGCACTAAGATATAAGATATTTATTTTCATAAGATGATGATAAAATCCATCATTAACCCGAATCATCCTGAAATTATATAAAATGTTTGTTTTTTTTTTAAATGTTATGATTCATGTATATTGATAAATTGCACAAAACAAACAATAAAAAAATATCATATATCGTGTTTGCAAGTTTACCGATCTTAATAAATGGAAAATATTCTACTTGTCTAAGGTTAAGAAAATCCTTTGGTTAAAACACCGAATTATTTAATAAAAATTCAAAAAATCACAATTCAAAAACTTGAGTTGCTCATATGGCCGTACACCAGGAAGATGGGGTTGACTGAATTCTATGTACAATAAATCATATCAAATGTTTTTTTTTTTCCGCCGATATAAACACAAATAAATTTTTCCCCAACATGTAATGCAGGAGGAAATCACTGAAAAGCAAGACAACAAAAAATTAGAGGAAAAGAAAATTGAGAAAGACAAGACTAATATTCAGAATGATAATGAAAAACCTGCAGAAGAAGCAGTAATTGAAGAAGTTGCTAAAAAACCTGACAGCAAAAAAATTGAAGAAAAAGGCAAAACTAATGAATTAAAAACAAAAGAAGAGAGTAAACCTAAAGTTGAAGACAAAAAAAATGCATCAAAAGTAGATAAGCCCAAAACAAATGAAGAAAAAACTGTAAAAACTATCGACGCAGAGGTAAGAAAACAAAACTTTCCAAATCGATTCCGGCTTAAACTGGCTATAAACTGCTTCTAAAATGCTTTATATGTATCGAAAATTCACTTTTGGACAAATACAAATCTAGGCAAAATATTAGATAATTAATAACCCGAGCGTTTGCCGTTAAACTTAAGGAAATGTAATTCCTTAGGGCTTGCTTGTTTTATTTGCAACTGGCTTTTCGCATATTTTTTAGAATAATTTTTTTAACACATATTTTGTAAAACAACCTCCAATAACTTTAATTAATTTCTTTTATTTTAGAAACATGAAATCGAGAAAATTGGTGTAAAGAAAGTGGAACGTAAGGTAAGAATATTATTAGTAGGTTATAATTTATATATAACTGACTAAAATGATAATTTAATGCTATTATTATATTGTATTGTACGAGATATCACTATACTACTCTATTTCCAAAAATTTGATACAAATGCTTACTTATTTTTTTTCAAGAATTAAAAAAATCTAGTTCTAAACGTACATGGTTGTTTATCTAGTTTGCGGATATTAATGAGTTCACTCAATAGAAATAAATTTTAGATTATAAAAATAATAGTTCTTAAGTATAATTTCCCTCAACTTCAATACACTTATTCTAACGATCCTCCAAATTATATACCCAATCTCTGTACTGGTTTTTCAAAATATCTGCAATGTCTTCACTAAGGCATCATATGTCTTCTTTGATGGATGTCGTTTTCTACTGAGGACATTTCTAAGCAATGGAAAGTATTCGAAATAAGTGTGGCACTAACTTCTGGATGAGTTGGAGCTTGAAAGTAAATGATCACCAAAATTTGTTTTGCATTTCAAAAAAGTCATGCAGACATCGTGACCCATTTCTGGCCATGAAGTCACTTTAGTGCCTAATTAAAGGTAATGTAATGCATTTTGTTTTGAGTAGGACCTAAATCTCATTTACAAAATCCGTTTTATCTTTTTAAAACGCTCTATATGTTGCTGATATGCAATATTGCTTATTATGCCATATAAAATACCTAGAGCTTTTTCGAGCGGTCTATCGATGATGTTTCATATTAAATCCTGTACTTTTCTGGTTGAAGTTTTTGGATGTTCTTCATATCCACTTACAAACCATTAGTTTTAATTTTTTTTGAAGAACAGATTCCTCTAACACATTTAGTTTTTTGTAGGAATTTCTGTTGCCTTCAAATTTTTTTTTTTAATTTAATCATATTTTTAAATACACTGACACGTCAACTTTAACGAGCTTGTAAGCAAAAAACGAATTAGCGCTTCTAAATACAATTTAGATAGATTGATAAATTAAAATAGCGTCGAGAAATAGAAATGGGGTGCATTGCATGATATGTAATAGATGAAGAGGGTTATATTATGCAACACCGCAAAGACCATAGCATTTCGATACGTATTTTTTATCGAATTTTTGTGAATGAATATGGGTTTTGGAAGATATCTCACATTTTTTTCATATTTTATTTTATTTTTTATGTAATTAAATTTTAATTTTAAACTAAAATTAAAGATTAAAGTATAATAATCGTTAGATTTGATGTATGGGACATTTCATATGGAGATGGAGTAGTCAAAATGCATATATCTCCGACCATCACTAATATTTTATAACAATTTTTATTATTTATATTGCAAAAATAATTTTTAAAAAATCTATAAACTAATTTAAAAGTTTTTCTTGTAAGAATTTATGTTGCGCCATTAATTTATATTATAAGTCCTTATTATTACAAAACTAGAGAGATATAAAATAAATTTAGCAAGTGTGTATATCAATTTAGCTGGCAGTATATCAAATGTTATATAAAACTTTACATACCAAATTTCAACTAGATATTTATATATACTGAATAAAAATCCGATAGTTCAGTACTTTCGACAAATGTTTATAAGTCATTTCAGAAAAACTAACGTTAAAAATTATGTTGAAAGTATTTATTTAGGATCAGGGTTTATTTCATTTGTAAATTGAAATGATCTATATTATACCACGAACTGTTGCAAAGTTATTGTACACTGAATCCTTACGAGATTTTGTCATTATTACATAAAGAGCAGTTGAACATAATTCAACAACACTTCCAAAAAATTTATACTTACTAAGGCACGTACACAATATCATTATATATAAACAAAAACCGGAGAACATACCTTTTTCACGTGAAATGTCCCACATATATATTTATATACACAATGAATAATAATTTTTTTACCATACACATGTACACAAATATGCATATTCCTAAACAACTTCATTTACACCAAAAAACACAAAGCCGAAAACACCTGCTCAAGATTCGGACCTCGAAAATTCGAATTCTCCTTCATTTGACGGAGAGGACGAAAAGGTAATACATGCTATATTATATGCACTTCAAATAATCCAAAGATTGTTCCTGACATTATTTTTGCAAAAAATTTGAAAACTATTTGTATACTTGTATTTAATTATTTAGGTGAGTATGGCAACAATTGCTCAAGAGGAAGTTAAAATCGACAAGCGCCGTACGTCAGTTATTAAATCTGAAGAAACGGTTACGACTGACAATAAAATATCTTCAAGGCGTTCATCTCTGGCGGTAAGTGAGAAAAACTATATATATTTTATGTGTATTTTAAGCATGAAAACTGTATTATGTAGTTTTTATGTAGTTTAATAATGCATAATGGGCGTTATAGTGTATTGTTTTTTGTATGAATAGATCGAGGAGACAAGTAGTGCATCGCGGCGTTCCTCTGTTGTGGAAAAGAAAAGTATTGAGGTAATATAAAAGCAAAGTATTTTTATTAAAAGTCTTATCTATATATGTTTAAGATTTAAATCCTTTTATATTTGTATGCTTCTTAACGAGGTAAGAAAAACTCACATGTTTTGTATTGTGATTGTATCACTTGCAGCTCACGATATTGTTGATGTAAGCTTTAGACCAATTAGATTTTATTCAGCGCTACTTGTGCATACGAATAAAGTGTTGAGTTCTAATGTTAAGTAAAAATGACCATAAATCGGAAATGTGGAAGTTGTTGATTTTAATTCAAAAATCTTGCGACTAAATTTATAACAAATCAATTTAAGTAGCACTAGCTCTAAATATGTAGATAGTGAACTAGAAATAGACACACAGACATTATTGTTATCCATATACAATATATATACAATATTTGTTAAAAAAATTCAATTGAAATACACCAGGGCAAAAAATACAAAGCAAATTAAATAAGTGGTGTCTTATAGATTTATAAGCTTTGGTTAAAAACTAAGCAATTTGTGAACAACCACTCAAGCTTACCGAAAATTTAAAAATATTGATTAGGCAAATATAAAATTTTGATACCAAATATAACAGTATTGAATTTATATTTTATCAATTTACAGAAAAATTTAATTGTAAAATAAATTTAATATTAAACTTAAAATTTGTTTATCGACCTGTATTCTATAATGATTTTATTGTTTATTTATTAGCTGGCCATAGGTCACTTTTATTTCAATAAAAATTAAAAATCCTTTATTGCTGGTTATTAAATAATCATATATTTCGACTCTCTTCATCAGGAGAGTCATCATCAGGAGCATGTTCTAATAAAAGTAAAAATTAATAATATCACATTCCGTTCTAATTGTCAAGTTAATTATTCTATTGTGCATATTGTATTATGGACAATTGTCCATATTGCACATAGAATAATTAACTTGACAATTAGAATGGAATGTGATATTATTAATTTTTATTTTTATTAGAACATGCTCCTGATGATGACTCTCCTGATGAAGAGAGTCGAAATATAGAATTATTTAATAACCAGCAATAAAGGATTTTTTATTTTTATTATTTTATAAAAGTGGCCTATGGCCAGCTAATAAATAAACAATAATAAACAATCGCTGATTATTGATATGATCAGAGATTCAGATATTTTTAAATTAAGGTTAAGTAAAACATCTTTTGTTTTAATATTTCAAAAGGATCATTGTATTATTATGAGTTAGCATAAATCGTGTCTATAAACACGAATGATAAATCATAATCGTAACCTTACTAACTTCTTTGCAGCAGGAGGAAAATAAAAGTTTAAAGTTAAAATTTCTAAACACTTATTTTTTAACAAATATTTTTATCGCATCCTATCTTAAGACTGTAAATTGTATGCGATATATAAAAACCATATTTTAGTTGAACTTTTACATGTTTTTAAATTTGTTGTTAATGCTACTTGTATTTTGTTGCAAAATTTAGCAAGCAGAGCCCAAAAAACTAGAGCCCAATAAATCTCCACAAGAAATAAAGGAAGAGATTCCTAAATTAAAACCGGCCGAACAGAGACGTGCTCCTAAGGTGAGATCATATTTATCTCCATTTCATTAGGAAAAAAATTGTTTATAAAATTTAATTGTGTTCAGTCTTATTTAAACATTGTTGATGCAACAACGTTATTGTGACAGCTAATAGAGACAAGAACTGTGTTTAAAAGATACACAAACACAATCAATTTTTATATGCATTTTTAATTGAATTTCAGTATACAGCAGCTTCAGCAAATTTTCTGGATCTATTTTTTCTCTAACTCTAACTCTATTCTTTGCGCTTATTTCTATTGCTTTCTCTATTCTTATCTATTTGTCTGCAATAAATGAAGAAACTTTCAATATTATGGTCTTATAGTATTGAAATGGGTGACAAGCTCACTTACGCCTTAAGCCTTAATATTTGTATTGCTTTCCTTACACAAAGAGTATGATCGAAATATATATTATTATGTAGATTATAGAAGAGGCGAAACCTGCTGAAGAACTACCGAAATTAAGAAAAACATCTGTCCCTCCACCTGTTGAAGAAGCTAAGCCAGAACCTACCAAAGCAAAGGCAAAGACCAAACCAAAAGCAAAATCTAAGTATGAAGAATTACCCGAAATTCCAGATTATGAAAGGCCAGTATTGGAAAAATATGAAAAGTCTGATTTTGTACCAACCGATTTTAGTAGAGAGTTAGATGTACCAAATAAAATGGAGAAACCAATCATTGAAGCAGCTAAAAAAGAAGCAGAAGATGAACCATTGATAAATGGTTTACCGAAGGTTAGTAAAAAGTTTTTGTCTAATAAGTGATGCGAATTAAAGTGTAGTACTGAATCTAAGTAGTAATCTTACGTAAAAATGATGAAATATGTTTTACAAAAACAAAATTTGAGCATAAAAAAAAAATAAGTTATTAATAGACCCCATTTTTTTTTTAGTTAATCAGTTTCATGCAATGCTAATATGGTATGGTGTGAAACAAGCGGTTGTCTTTTGTATATGCGGAGGACGTGACCTCAAATAAATTGTATAACTAACATAATAAAGAGTAAATTAATTAGTATTGCCATAAAGTGAACGCTAAACAGAATATTACTGTGAAATGTGGACTCAAATGACAGAGAAATAAAAGGAAAATTAATGGATACTTAGTCAATAAATAAGAGACAAGTAATTCAGATACTGCATGCCTTAGAAAATATCTATATAGTTTTGAAGCTTTTGATTTTAGCGAGAATGATAAGCAATTTAAAAAATGTCAATTGTTCACATTAAAGAATATAAAGATAAAAGATAAAAGTAACGAATAATTCCAAACTCACAGCAAAACAGTTCAAAAATATTTGAACTATTTTAAGTACAAATTCATGTGATAGATACCTGAGCTTATTATTAAATTAACAAATTAATTTTACAGGTTTGTTAAATGATAACAAGTGTTAGTTTTAAATTAAAACTTAAAATGTAAATGAAAGTCCAAGATTAAGTAACAAAATTTAATCTGATTTATTATTAGTCAGATAGTTTGTACGACAGCTTTTAACGAGGTATTTTTTTGTCTTCACTTTTCAATCAAATCGAACTGAAATCGATTGTAACTTTTTCACCTTTTTCCGAAAACCTCGGTCTCGATGTTCTTTTAATGAACGACTCCTAAAATCCATTTTGAAAAATATCTCTAGAAGATTTTTAGATCTGCCAAGTTTTCTTTGTGGACTTATCGTTGTCATTAAATTTATTATTATATTTCAATGATAAACTAACATGATAATTTAATTATCTAACACTTAAATATATATTGAAAACTTGCCTTATTCTCTAAAACTTCAACAAAATCATATGTTTGTCAATAGAATATTACTAGGAGATTCGTTAATTCACAATATTTGAAATTTTTTTGCCGGGCTTTAGGTCGTGGTTTTTAATTTTTAATTTTTATATAATAACTTGTATTTTATATAAAATAAATAAAAACAAACTTTGAATTAAATAAAACATCACAAATTTAATTTATGTAATCTTCAGTGTTGTTGTTGAAATTTAACAAATACAATTACATATAAAGAAAATTTTTAAATGTCAAAAGTCAAATAATAATTCAACAAAAGGATATGAAAAGGGGAAATTAATTTTTTAAAAATGAATAACAACCAGTGTTGTTATAGTCAGACGAAAAATAAATTTTTTTTTAAAGAAAATTTTTTATTTTTATGAAAACAAATAAAAGTAAATCTAAATTTAATTAATTTTAAATGCAATTAATTTTTGATTAGTGATCTGTATATTTGCGCTAAGCCTTCAGTATCCCTCTTGTAGTTCAGTTGTTGGTCATCTGGAACGTCAATTATATGCAACATTTCTAGCAACATCCTGCGTTTGTAATTTTTCTCCTGGTGTAGAATTGTAACCTCATCGAAGTTGGGAGAATGGTTCATTTTAATGCAATGTGTTGTTAGATCTGTTTTTTGGTCCAGAGGTGTAGTAAGACTCTTTAGATCATGCTTGTGTCCAGCGATTCTCGTTCTTAATTTATTTTTTGTTGTGCCAACATATACCTGTTGGCATACGTTGGCTCCGTCACCTCCACAGGGAATTTTGTATACCAAGTTATGTTTGTCTAACTTGTCTACTGGAGTTTTTGTTCTATTAAACCAATTTTTTAATGTATTTGTGGTTTTGAAAGCTACTTTATGCGTCGTTTTGTTGAAGCATTTTGATTTTTGAAAGCTTTCGGAGAAGCTAGGTATGTACGTCATTGATACATGAATTTTGGGTTCATTCTCCGATTTTTTACTTTCAGTAGATTTTGCTTTTTTTAACAAGGATTTGATAATGTTGATTGGAAAATTATTTTTGGTTAGAATACCAATAATTGTTTCTTCATTTTCCTTATGGAAAATTGAATCGCTGATATTTAACACACGTCTGATTAAGTTAAGTGCAGTATTACGCACTACATGGTAGGGATGTTGGGAGTCAAAATTAATGTATCGTCCAGAATTCGTTGGTTTTTGATACCAATTTAATTTAATCCGGTTATCATGTCTTATAACTATTGTGTTCAAATAAGGTAGTTTATCATTAAGTTCCTCTTCTATTGTAAATTTAATTCTAAAGTGTATATTATTTAATATGGTCAAGATACTCTCTACGTCATTTGATTTGACTATAGCAAATATGTCATCCACATATTTGGTCAAAAAACGTGGTTTATTAGATGTTTTAACCATCATTTTGTCTAGAATGTTTTCCATTACTATATCCGCCACTATTGGTGATATTGGTGAACCCTTTGTTTGACTGTAAATTTTATTTTCAAATTTGAAATATCTGTTGTCTTTTAGTAGGAACTTGAGTATTTCCATGAAGGTCTCTTTTTTCATTTTTGTGATCTTTTCAATCTGAGACCATTTTTCTTTGATAATCTCTAATGCATAATCTACTGGTGTGCTAGGAAAAAGTGATACTACATCGAAGGATACGAGTTTCTCATCGTCAAAAATATACGCGTTATTTACTTTTTCTTTGAATGATATAGCATCTTTAATGTTGTATATTGAGTCTTTTGTAAGATTTTTCAATATATTTTTGCCATGTATTGACACAGTTTTTGAGAAGGTGCATTCACGCACGAAGTTATAGGCCTTAACGGTATTCCTTGTTTATGTATTTTTGGTGGACCGTAAATACGTGGGGCAGTGGCTGTAAAAGTGGATAATTTTGTTTTTTCCACAGAATCAATGACATTACCTTTAAACAATTTGTCAACTAAGTTGTTATTTTTGTGTTATAGGTGCAGTTGATGTTTTATACTTATAAGCGCATGTGTGTAAAGTTGTGTTTTTAATCTTGGTAATCGTAACGTACTGGACTTGAGTTGTTATTTGCTGTATATACAAAAAAATTATTCCCAAATACAACAATTTTAAAGACAGATCCTTTTTTAAGTGCGTAGTTTCCACCACCGTTTTCGCTTTTTGAACAAATTGTTCCGCAACATATCAATTATTTCTGTTATGTGTCGTATCAAAAAAAAAAAACTATTCCCAAAAGTAAACAAGTCTATAGGAGTATATATTTTTTTAAAAAAATATGAAGTGGTCTTCAAAAGTGAAGTGGTACTTATTATTTTTTTTTTTTTTGCAACGTTTAGCAACCGCAAGTCTTTATTCGCATCACTTAATATTTATGTTATGTTATATAAGCAATTAAATAAAAAATATATGTTCAAAAAATATATCATGCTTTTTGCAATCACCATAATTGTTTATGACGTAGTTTACTATTTTCATTTAATGTATTCGTAACGTACAAATTTAGAAATCGAATGTTATTCAAAAAAGTCAAGAAGAGCCAAAAGGTCTGAAGATTGGTAAAGGTAAAATTCCCGATGACGAAACAGAGAAAGATTCAGCAGTACTGCGGCCAGTTATAATCGAACCAAAGGTTAGTTCATTATTTAAACAAAATAATTTTATTGTATTGTATAATATTATCCTAATCGTAACAAATGTATATTTAATTTATATCGCATGCCAATCCTCCAAACATGTATACACACTTATATTATTTTGACAATGATATTGAATTCAATGCATACTTTACTTGCGAGCAGAGTAAACAAGATGAGGAAATATCGAATAATGCTGGAGAGGTAAGTTTACAATACATACATATATCGGGTCGATTCATTTACATTCTATTCACTTCGTTTACTAAATATAACGAAATATACAACATATTTAAATTGTAATTATCATTTCAATAATTTTAAGAAAATAAAAAGAAAACTAAGTATTTGTTATTAAATCTAAAACCAGAGATAAGTCATTGAAGATAATACTCATAAAAGTTCAGCGTAATTTGTGTAGTTTAAGCGAATTATGGACGGAGTGGAGATTATTACTAAAATTACTTATTGAAATTAAATATTGAAATACTTCCTTTAAATAGTAGCTTGTCTAAAGTATATTGTTTTCTCACAAGTGGTTAATGATTGATTAAATTAGATTAAAACTAACAATATATTCGTTCTTTAGTCTTTAAAGGAAAACACTAAACTACCTCTTATTGAATTGATTAAACAACGTCGTCGATCTTCTATAAGAAATATTATAACAAAGGAGCCAATTGAAAATGAAAGCTTTCTTGGGGTGGTGCTTAAACCTGTTATTAGGGATCCAAAAGAAGCACAGGCACCTCAAAAGGCAAAACAATTGCTTAAGGTAACAGAATGTAATAAATTTAAAGAAAGCTTAAGCTTAAGCTTAAATCTACTCTACCTGCTACACTTTCTCAAAGCTTGGCACATCGCTCTTTAGTAAATCTTTAAAACTGCGGGTAACAACTATGTATCTGTTCTATGAGTAGGAAACATTTTCTCGATTTGCAATGTGGACACTATAATTCTATTTTCTTGTCTGCTTTTCTATCTTCTATTCTCTTCTGCCACTGCTTATAAGACTTTTACACACTATTTAAACTTGTTGACACTTCACTTTTAAGGAAACAATCAAAGAGGAAAAGTTTAATGCTACAGCTCCTGGTAAAGCAAACATTTCGCATTTGCAAAAACCTGAGGGATTACCAACAATTGTGGATGATTATCAGCGACCAACATTACAAAAATATGAAAAACCAATATTCCTAAAAAACGAAAAGGATAAGCTTGGTGTAACCGTACCTGAAATACAAGCCCCTATCACTGAAGCCGTTGTAGATAAGCTTGGTGTAACCGTACCTGAAATACAAGCCCCTATCACTGAAGCCGTTGTAGATACGGTTCAGGTAAATAATTCAATATATATTGCTTTTAATTATGTAGGTAATATTTTTATATACATATAAAAGTCTTCAGTATCAAAGTTTCCTCATCAATTTCAAATTCTTTATATTTTCACCATCCTATTGAAATAGTACTTGCTGGCTGAAATATTGTAAAATACAAACTTTTCGAAACTCTATACCGAAATCGACATCGGCGGTCTTATAGTAGTCTAAGCAATTTTACAAAGAGTAATAAAAATAATTATCGCAAATTTTAAATTACGGTAAAAATGAAATAGGTGATAATGCTTTGTTTGCAAAACTCGTGTATTTTTTGGCATTGTTATAAGAAAACATTATCTACAGTCGATTATCTACAGTCCAGCTGAATCCGGCTATGCCTTACTGTGGTGCAGTTATGTTGAATGATTCAATTTCTAATACGTTTAATTTGAAAATACTTGTAGTTATATAATTTTCTTTATTGTTCCAATGTCTGTGTAGATATAGATATTACCTAGTCTGTCCATATAATAAGCAATCCACATCTAGATCTAAATTGCTTAGATGTAAAGGTTCAGCCTGGTTCAGAGTTTTGCTGATGGTTATTGTAAAAGACAATCGAATTGGGGTACAGCTTGTCATGCGTTCTTATATTTTATATTTTTATATTTTTTTACATTTATATTTTTTTTGTTTTTTAACTTAAATTACAATAAAACTCCTAAGAATTATTTTTGTTACAATTACTTTCACCTTATTTTCAATCCATATATACATTTTTAAACAAAAAATATTAGTTGATTTTATGTTATTATTTTTATTATGGCTTTTCTTTAAATCATATTATCTCAAACCGAAATCATGAATATTATTTTTTGTTAGCCCATTTTATAAAAAGATTAGAATGTTTTTCAACACGGAAACATGCAACATATACGACAAATATGGATTTTTAAAATCGAGTCCAATCGTTTGAACTGTGTTGAAATTTCGGTTGGTATTTTCTCCTCTGCGAAGTGGTTCAGTTCTTAGTACTTTTTTTCATAAATTTCTTATTACTAATCGTGTTTTATTGTATAATTTTGGTAAATTTTGGTAAATTTAGACTGCGAAGTAAAAAGTTCGAGAATACTTCAAAAAAATATCCTAGGATATAATAGAATAGAAATAAACAGAGTACCGGCTTCCATGTCCTGCGGGTTTGTGCTGCAACAGACCCTAATCGAACAGAATACATTCAGCCTTTCGAATGAAAGCCAGAAGTTCTCGAGCCAGTGACCTTATTCTAGCCCAGAACAAGGCTATGCAGCCACAGAGAATGTGACTTAAAGTCTCGTCTGCTTCTAAGCGGATTCGACAATCTATCTCTTCGGACAGTTCCATTTTGTTAAGGAGATAACGCAGTCCATGGTGACCCGCTAAATATCCCACCAGCAACCTTGACTCTGTTTTACTGGAGAAACATAAAAAACCAATTATCAAATAAAGGTTAGTGAGTTGTATGTTTTTATGAAGACGTACGTTTCCATTGCTTATATCCAGCAATGGTTTGGGAAATACTTAAGCGGTTAAATCAATTGAAATTATTATTTTCAACATCACTTTCTTTAGGGCCGAATTTGATCCGAATTGGGTCCGAATACGGCCCAACTAGATGAAATATGTAATACGCATTTTGTTCAAGTAATAATAAACGTTAGTTGTCAAAAATTGATTATTTAATAACCAATTGAAATGAAATTTTTGAAACTTTATGATAGCATTATTTACATTTTTTTTAATTAATTAACAGTTCACGTGACTATTTATCTTATGTTTATATATATAACTGTGCAATGCAATGCAATGCACAAAGATTATGGCCATACGAATAAAAATTTGTAAATGTCGAGTAAATTTGCGTACATTAAATTAATATCATATCAAAAATATCATATTATCACGTGATTGGAATAATAATTCCAATAATTTAATAACAATTATATTAAATTAATTTTAAATATATTTTATTATTACCGATACTTCGACAAAAGTCTGTATTAAATTGTAAACTATTGTATATATTTCAAATAACATAAAGTAAGTACAAAGTGAAACTTAAATAATTTAGCATCGAATTCAATTCTATAGTACAATAACAATTATATATATATTATTCATAAAATTTATTTATAACGATTGAATCGTTATTTTTCCTTTTCTCGATTTGCTTTATTCTAACCGGCCAAATTCGAATCGAGGCAAAGCTCTAAAAAATATGAAGTTGAAAATCATTTTTGCCATTTATTATTTTGTATCGTTCACAATTTAGTTTCCGTTCCTTATAGAACTTCTAGATATATGACAAAATTAAATAATGTCCACTGTTTGGATAGTTGATATTGATATAGAACAACACCAGACACACCAACAATTTCATATAATGATTTCTAAGTGTTTTAAACACATAATTAATTATCTATCCTTTGCTCTAGTATTTGAAAGTAATTACAAAAGAGAAACAACAATGATACTCAAATAAGTCCAGGATGGCAGTATTATCTCTTCTTCCTATTAGTTTTTATTTAGTTTGTGCATATATATATGTTTATATATATACATATATTATATATATATGTATATATGTATATGTTATATATATATAACATATGTTATATATAACATATATATATATGTTTTTATGTAATTGCATCATCAGTTATAATGGGGTTCCTTTGATTTAAATAAAATTCTAAAATCTGTTACTAAGTCACATAGTACACAATCAATTTGGAGTTTAACCTAGAAATGCTTATTAACTTAAAAAACCCGCTATCACTTTTTAATGAACTCCAATTTTAATAGTCAGTTAGTCGCATATTTAGTTACCCTATCAGGTAAGTATTACTTATCAATTTCTAATAGTTAGATTCATAGATTAATCGTTATATGCTTTTCGAACACTTACAATAAACATATTTAAATGGAAATTATTTTTATAATAGGAGGTCGAAAAAGATCTTTCTTATAACGGCAAAACCTTCCTATAACTGTTTTTAATCTTATATTCAATTTAGCATGACAAAAAGATACTGAACCGATGCACACACACACTTTCGTTTAATAACAAACTATTGCTATATACATGTGTATGTGTATACAAGCACAAAGGTGCGTTAACAATATCACAAGCTGATATTATTCAAGCATCTCTATGTATAAATATTTAGTTGTTAAATATTTTTAATATATAATAAAGAATAAAAATATACTCATATAGAGGAACAAAAAAATTTTTAATGTCGTCAGACTCAAAAAAAAAAACATTTTTTTGTCAAAATAGACGGCATATGAGTTTATGAATTTTGTTTGATTTTTCATGTTATTTTTGAGAGTATATAAATACTTCTTAATTTTTTCATAATTTGGTTTTAATGTAAAAATAAAATATATAGATTTCTCTTTTATTTTATTTTATTTATATAAAAATAAATATATATGGAGAGATACATATTATTGTTGATATGTACAAAATACTTTAATTTTGTACGTTTTGATTTGATGATTTGTTGACTGTCATCTGCGAAGTGGTTCAGTTCTTAGCGCTTTTGTAGCGGGACCTAATACGAAACAAGATCGCGAATATTTATTATTCGATTTAATATTGTTTTTAATAAAATTTTTAAAATATGCCGTTTTTTTAATGAAATTTTTTCTTCGAATATAAATGTATATATTTTTGTGCTATATACATCTATGCATCGTATAAAATATGACAATTGCAATTAGTTTATAAATTATATCAATATCCAAACTACATACATACAAACTGCTTTCCTATTACTACATGTGTATAGTAATAACGAAAAGAAAAGTAAAATATGGCTACGATTAAAATCACGCCTCCGGTAAATATAAAAAATAAACTATTTCTTCTATATAAATGCAAAATTAATAAGATTTAATTTAATAAGAATACAGCTGAATTATTAATTATTCTGTTTAACTGGTATTCACATATATATAATAAATAAATAAAAAAATAAACAATTCAGCCTTTCTTGCAATTGAATTTGAAATGCTCCCAACATGTTTACGGGTCTATGTTATTAAAGAATAAACAGTAATAGTAAAACATCTTGAAAAAACAGTTTCATAATATGCTATCTTAACGAACATAGTTTTAAGACACAATTCGTTTGCAAGAATGATGGACTCTAGTACGATGGCGATAATATACTATTCAACAGTGAACTGGTGTATACATTTTCACAAGTTTTTAATATCACTTTATTTGTGTTTTTAGGATGACAAACCTAAAATACCCAAAATACAACCGCCAGCGCCAGGGGAGCCACCAAAAATTGAAGTTATTCGCGAAAAGCGTCCATCTTTAGCTCCTGAACCAACTAGCCGACGGGGATCATTAATTCCTCCAGCTGAAATGGGACGACGGCCGTCACTTATTATAAATGATGAGGTAACAATCCTAAAGTTTTTTGATATACCATATATGTTTTCTCGTATACATTATAATGTTAGTATACTTTAGAATTTCAACATAAGAATTTGTTTATTATTATTTTTATAGTTTATACTATTTGTATCTATCGACACCAATTCAGACAAAGGGTTGGATTAATTTTAATATAGTTTTACAATTCTAAAATCTTTAAAAGTATTATATATTAACACACATAATAACTTTATGGATTTTATTCTGATAATAACAGAATAAATGGACATGACTGGAGTGTCCTGATCTTAATATTTGAAAAAAATTTTCAACATTCCAAAGATTCTATAGTGAATGCATTGAAATAATCGCTTTTATTTGTTATAACATTTTGCATTTTATCTTATAGTTGACTTTTTAACATTTATTAATCTAGGTAGTATGTAGTTCATAGTATGTAGTATGCATTATTTATATTATATATCTTTTCAACCTGTTAATCATCTCCTTCATCCAACAACCATGTGCCTGCGTGGTTACAAACCATAAATTTAATTCTGGTGGTATTACATGTATTAACATTTGCAACAACGTCTACACCAACAAAAACATATCGTTCATACAATTCTAATTGGCTGCTGATTTTCATACTTACACACCTTTAATCCAACCAAATACGAACAAAACATAACAAATTATCGGTTATGAAATGGAACAATTACCCTATATATCACACACATTGAAACATTTCCTGCTGAATGAACAATATTTAACACACATGCGTAGAAAAAGTTACGACCTGGAGAAGTAATGGATACTCGGGTAAGAAAATTTGCACATTATTATGCATTTCACGCAAAGACAAATTTTACAAACACAAACTTTATTTAATGAACATTTTTTAAAAATGATCTTTATGCGGAGCGACCTATACGCATATTTTGTTAGGAATATTTCAAAATTTTAGGAGGAATATTTAACATTATTTCCTAATATATTTGTGGCTTATAAAAATTGTTATATATTACTCTATATATTTTTAAAAAAATAACGCTTGGATAAATTAAGTATTTACTACTTGTATTCACCGCTACAAATATCTGCTAAGACTCTTCTGCTATACTTGCCGCATCCAACATCAATTTAAGTTAGTTTTAACTTTTTAAATATTTACATACATATTTCTGTCTGTCTTCATTGCTCACATTTTCATGTTTTCATGTGTAAATATGACAATGATTATTAACAAATAAAAAAGTGCATGCATTCCTCAAACTTAAAATAACTGAGGTATTCGGAGAGCCGATTAGAGACTGAACCCTAAATGTCTATTTACATTTGAAAGCAATATATAAACAGATTGAGTGTGCAAAATAGTTCATGCGCAGTGGCCGTTGGTTGTTAATGCGCCAATAGCTGCCCATTGCAGTCATGACAACATGACAACAAATTTGTATCTGTTACGTGTAAAGTTACCCAATAACATATAAAGAATGACTAGTCCCAGAATAAGTTATTAATATATGAAAGTATTTAAAGAAATATTTTAATAATAAAAAACAATGGCGTATTTATATGCATATTTAACGAAAACCACTACAAACGACGAAATAGCGCGCTTGCTCATAGTAAAATTAGAAATTGTCAACATTGAATTTTTGGCAAATATTAACATTGCCAAAATTACGTAGGCCGTACGTATCCAACTGCTCTGATCTGTAATAATATAAAATATAAAAAATTTTATGTATCAGGCCGACCCTGAATCTAGATAAAATTCATTTATGCATACGAATAAAATACCCAATACAATGGATTAATATGCAACATATGCACGTTAGCAGCATCTTCCTTCCTGCGAACATCGAACATCGAACATCGAACACCGAACATGTATGCAACAATTTTCATAAAACTGCAGATTCACACCTAAAAAATTGAAAAATAAACACATAACATTTGTAGGCTTTCGCTATATAATATTAGTTTAATTTACGGAACCTAAAAACAACAAATTCATCTATTAGCACACGCCAGTGTAGAGATTTTACAAGTTCATAATTTTGTTTACGGCTATTCGCAATTTGATTAATAACATTTAGTGTAACAGAAACCATAAATAACTGTAGTTAAAGAGCGTGAAAAACAAGTAAATAAGACATCTAAGCATATTCTTTGAAGATAATGTGTTAATAAAATATTTTTACAAATAACTTTACAGTTATTGAGACCTGGAGAGGTGGGTGAAGCACAGGTGAGACAACAAACCAAACTAAATAATTACAAAAACGTTTTGATTAGTATATCTAACTTCGTTTCCCGTAGTAGTTGAATTATTAACAATGTTCAATTTTTTCTGAAATATATTAATTTCATTCACTAGCATATTTTAAAATACATTAAGTAGTACCGTAAATGAAAAATCTGAACAATTCAAATTTACGAATATTGATTTTATATTTGATTTATGTATATAAAGTATATTTGTTCACATATACATACATACATTAGAGTTCAGTCATTATAAACCTCATGTAGTAGTGCGTTTAGTTGCTTATAATATTCTCTAAAGCACTTAACATATAACATAACATTCATCTACCTATATTATATATAAGTATATATAAGTATTTTATTTTTAATAATTGTTGAAAGTTTTCTTTCGTTAGTGAATTATAATTACAAATGCAGAGATTTATAATTATTAATTTATTATATAATAATAAATATAAGCAATAATAATATTTTTAATACTAAATATCTATCTCATTTTATCGGATTCATAGTTCCAGTGCAGTATTTTATTTTACTCCTTCAAGGCAATACTTTTTTTTATTGCTGTTCTTCTCTCCTCTCTTAAGTGGAGCATAGGACCTTGAAGGCAATAAGCTTCTGAAAAAGGATCCAATAAATATGAAAAGATACCAAGATGTATTAAGATACGAATATATTATATAGAACATACATTTATATCGGATTTATTAAATTCCAGTGTTTAATTTTTAATTAGTAATTAGTATATTATGGTTTGCACAGTGATTGCACGTGCAAAATCAATACATAAAAGAAGATAATGCCAATTTCTAAGAAAGACACATACCAACAACCCGATTTAGTTTAGTTCTCAAAAAGGACATTTGGATTTCGAATTAGCTTATTGATATAATTTAATATATTGAAGTTTTAAAATAGTGATGTGTTTTCATTCATCGCTATTTGACTATTACAAAGATGGGTAGGTAATGATCAATATTTAAACATCGAAATAAGTAAAGATTTTAACTTTGGTTTTGCAGAAGCTTAGATACCCTTCAAACAGGATATATAATAATATCTTAATAATCTTAACGATCGTTGCTCATTTTTAGAATTTTCTGTAGCTGAATTAGCATTTTACATGGTAGCTATATTTCAAGGAATATGAGTATTATTTTTGACATTCTCTCATACGAATATAAGTACATTCTGTTCTAAATTTTATATGAATATTTTTATTAAAAGCAGAGAAATTATACACAAATTTGTGTGATCAATATTTGTAATTACCAGTGTAAAAAGCAGCTTTAAAATCTACAAAAATAAAATGAGAGTGAATTCTAACACATATTTTTTAGGATTTGATGAATTTTAGTTATCAAGTCAGTAGTGGATTGACAGATCTAAAACAACAGTAATAAGATTTAATCACTTATTTGTTTGATTCTCTTTCTATTCAAATGAGACATCCCACGATCCGGGCATATTGACGTAATTTGTAGTATCATCTTTTTGATGGATTATACAATGCACAATTAAGATTTAATCGTTACAAATGCATTTTCCCTACTATATTTCAATTAGATATTGTGATTCATTATCAGTTTAGAACAGCTTAGTCTACAAACCATGACTATTTTAGATTTTGTTTTTTACGAGCCTGGTTATGGTGTAATTTTAACTTAAAGTGGATTAGATGAGTCTTTGGCCCACAAAAACTTGACTATAAATTTGCGTTCCATTGCGTGTCTTTTACAGATGCATTCTTATCAGTTTTGTATTAAATACATGAATAGTTGTACACTTCGTTATAAAAACTTCGGATATTTCATTTGCACATTAATAAATTTTGGTTTATATAACGTTAGCGCTGTCATCAGCTATAGATGGCGTGCATTCCCAGTCACCTTTTCATTTTCACTGGAGATTTGTTAAAGCCCCACAACCGGTAAAAGATTAAGATCATGGTGACATTCACTTTCTCTTTTCTAATTGAACAACATGAATGTCTGAATGAATGTGTTATAGACTTCAAGCTAATGAAAGCGTATGTATATAAATATATCAGAAACATCCGTAAAATGCGCTGAATTTTTCTGAAACTTGGCGCTCTATTTGCATTTTTAAAGACATATGCTACGGAGTGAATAGTTCTTATGGAGCGTAAACAACGTAAGTTTTGTCAAGGTTTTTAATTCGAATGCATATACGTATTATTTTTGTAACTCTTCTGCGAACTTAAGAAACTGCTGTGAAATTTAAGGTTTAATTTAGTTTTTAAGTTATGTGATAGGTTTGTGAGGTATAGTATAAGTTTGTCAAATGATTGAAAAAAGCAAATAAGTTTTTTAAATTTTATATTTCATAAAAATATAACTAACACTAGTAGTATGTGACCGCATTTCTATTTTTGTCACTGGTAGTTGAAATGTCTTTTTTTTTTTGACCATTCCATACAGATAATAGCAGATGTACTATAAATTGCATCAAGAAATAAATAAAGAAATTAATTTATAATATACGTAACCTTAAATACTCTTTATATCAGATTTTTGAAAGTTTATTTAGCCATTGCAAAATGGCTGAATAATAAAGCACTTTTCCTTAATTAAACATGAATTTGACCAGTTTATATCCAAATCCGAACTACTCCCAATAAAATTAAAATATGAAATGTGGTATTATCAAAACATGTGTAGGTATATCATGAGTACTGTTCATATCAGTACCAATATGGCTTTTTACATCGGAGGCAAAAATATGATGATTTTGATTTGACTGAACGTTTGGTTTAGAGTAGTGTTTATTATAAGTAATATATGTATCAAAATTAAAGTTTGATTCTTGCAAGAATTTCACATTCAATAGAGAACTGCTACAGACTTTTACCGCAACGTCTTACAAGATCAATGTATGGGAGTGTATTATATAGTTGCATACAATATTTATTAAATAACGTATTAATAGTGATATTTATATATTTATATAGTTATGTTATTCAATAGATAGATTATTTTAATAACAAATATCTTATTGAAATCGTATTTATATCATGTATACTTATATTTAGAAAAAGCACCAACGACCAGGAGAAATGGGTGATACGAAACAGGTTTAAATAATTTTTTTATTAAATATATTTACATAAACTTATGTACATATACAGTTCTTGATTTTTTCTTTTGTATATAAATATTGTACAAAGCAAATTATAAATAAGTCTGTATGTTTATACACATACAGTCAATCCTAGTAAATAACTCAACTTGTATATATATAGTAGATATTAGTATATTAAATAATCATAGTTACTAAAATATAATAGGCAAAAAGTGTAAAGTTCTTAATGGAGATTTTCTGTTACTGCCTAGTTTTTTTGCGGGTGACTAACTAAGTAATGCCTATCAGATGAACCCATTTTAAATTTAATTTTACAATTTATATTTTACAAAATATGTAAATAATTTAGTTTAAGTGAAAATTTCATTTAAGTAGTGCTATTCATTAAGTTATTTCATCATGATTTAGTTTGTGGTCATGTTTAACCTGCACATGCAATGTAATGACTACACAGTAATTAATTATAATCCATTTATGTATAATTTCCTAATTAATTATTGTTTGTTAATTGATGCAATCAACCATTTTATAAAAAAGCTTAATTTTTCTTCTTTCTTCTTGCTTCATTAAAATTACAAGTAATTAGAGCAAATTTAAATATATGTTATATTACAGAAACATATAACATATTTGTATATTAAAGAAGTGTGATTCTACGAGCTTGCTTTTCATACGATTGTTATATGCGACTGCAAATCTAGTGTCTTTTCTTAAAGGAATATCAAGATTTTCTATATTTTTAAGCTCAATTGGTTTGCTATCATCATACCGTAATTTGGCATTTTGCACTGTAGAATTGTTTTTGTAGAAGTAGTTGAAGTAAATTACTTTTGTGTTTGTGCTTCATGTTATTATAAAATTTTTATTTATTTTTTATTTTAAATAAAACTAATAAACCTGTGTAACTTTTACATGTTTTAATGTACCTTGCGTATTGTGATGTACCGTGACTATTTGTTCAATCTGTAATACAACACTACAGAGACGTAGAACATCAATTGATGTACGTCGTCCAAGTGTTCAAGATCTCGAAGATCTTATCAATAAACCGTCAACTCCTCTCCGTGATGTTGGCGATGGAGGGCCACCGCAAATTATTGATGTCCAGGAATCATATTCAGCCGTGGAAGGTAAGTATTTTATTATTTTATGTATTTAGTATAGTTTCTTCAACAGCTTCTATTAGCTATAGATTAATAAAAATTCAAAAATTAGTTTCAAGGTAAAAAATTTATATCTTAATTGTTAAAGAAATGGATATTTTGAATAAAATAGTATTTTGCTAAGTTCTTGCGTCGGTCGCTGAACACTTTTTTTAACATTAATCAGGAATATAAAATTTATTAAGCCGTTGAGCAAGTAATTCAACGCTTCCTTTTCTAATACCTATACATATGTAAATATGTATTAATTATCAAAAAATTCAACTCTATATATATTTATTTAATATATTTTATATATTTATGTATAGTTGTGTATTTCAAGTTGTTTAATGTTTGTGATTAAAATCCTTGTTCACATGCATTGATTTTTCGAGGTTGGCTATTGATGATACTCAACATATCGGAAAATCAATAATTGTTAATAATATCAATAACAACTGTTCTTTAGTCCGCCCTGTTTTAGCCCAAGTGTGCACGAACTGTAACAACTTTGATGTATATTAGGAAAAAGGCAATATATTAGTTTAAGGACAATCCATGTTTATTATGCACTCAGTGCAGATAACTATTTAAAACAGATAAAAATGTAAAAAAGCAGTAGAAGTGAAAAAGACCAACAAATAATTTTTAGGCAATATTACTGCAGCATGACCTAGTTTTTCGTAAGATTTTATTGCAATTATCTTTTATAATTTGAAAATATTAAATTAGATGTTGAGATGTGATTTTGAGAGATTTGGGTTTTTTGTGCTTATCTAGGAAAAATCTAATACATAGATTTAAAAAAAATTTAAACTCAACTTATTGGGATGGTTAAGATTAACTCAACATATATTTATTTTAACACTAAATTATAAAACTATATATAATACAGTTTACAAAAGATTACTCCTTATTTTAACACTAAATTATAAAACTCCATTAAATGCAATGAATGAATGTTTTTTCTAACATAAACAAAAAATGTTTGTTAATAAAATATTTCTCAATATATACAATAAATACAAGAAGTTATATTATTCACAAAAAGCCACTTTTTCTATCAAGTATTAGTTTTGAGAATTAAAATTGACTCTTATGATATATTCATTGGGAAATAAAAAGAAATATTTAAAAGATTGGCCATTAGCTTAAGCTACTAATGGACTGCATTAACGCATTGGTGCTTATTATAATAATTGTAAAATTTTTTAGTAAATCGAAAACTTTTTGCTATCTCCTTGCAAATATACTATATTAGCACTTTGTCCTTTTACGATAGCGTCTAAAATAAAATCGATTTTAAGGTCAGGGAGAAACAATTTTGCATCGAAATTGGTAGGAAGATTTAAGATAAGAAAGAAAAAATGTTTAGACATAGGATTATCACTAAATATATAGGAGTCAAATTTAAGGTCAGGGAGAAACAAATTTGCATCGAAATTGATAGGAAAATTTAAGATAAGACAGAAAAAATGTTTAGATATAGGAAATATATAGGATTTCAACTAATGACAGGGATAGCAATTGGTATAAAAATATTAAAGTTAGCCTGAACATCAATTTAATTACAGCTACAACATTTCTAATAAGTATGTTAGATGAGAACTGTATCTTGGTTTTGGGTTAAAGACAAGGAAAAAACTTTGAAATCGCCAGTTAACAAAAGCAGCATGAAAATATGCGTTAAAAATGCGAAATTCACAGTCAATTTTTTTGAATAACAATGATGTTCTTAAAGCCACATTTGGAAATCGCAGTGCTATGGCGATAGTATGTTAAACAATGCTTTGTTATCCCCTTTGGCTGCAGCAGGCCTCAAGCAAAGTATCTCGTGACATGACAGAGTAAAACAGGCAAAGCAAACAAAGATGACGAATTAGCGGAGTGAATAATAGTCAAATATTAAGTCCCGCGTATTACGTATTCATTAAAGGTTGGGGTTAACCAGAAAGCTGGCAAAGAATTACTGCGGCTATAGAGTTAACTTCTCTTCATCGCAGAATTTATAAACAAATTACAGGTATCAGGCATCAGTAATACAGTGGCATATAATCTTTCAGAAGTAGTGGTTATTAAAATGCCAAAAGCTATCGGAACAATTACAAACACTCTCGATAATTAATCAATACTAAATCTGTAGAAATACATGATAAGGTCTTAGCGAAAAAACTCAATTAATTATTATTATATTTAAAAACAAATTATATATTCTTCTAAACATATAATAAACATGTAATAGTCCACACATAATAGTGTAAATATATCAATAATAATAGTATTGAAAAAAATTGTTGCGAAAATTCTTTTACTGAATGCAGCCATATCAATGTATCAGGCCTATTTAATAAAATAAACATTATTTTTAAATCTGAAAATCCTCCTCTGAGTAAATTTCTACGGACCTGAATAAACGTGAAACGTTTGATTACAAAATCATATGAAACTCAATATTGGACTTCATAATTCTTCAGTGTTATTCCAAAGATATTATTTAACTTTAACATTCGGTTAATATATGAGTTTGGTTTAAAAATTTTCCGCAATCGTACTGCTTCATACTCGAAACATTTTTGCTTTTCAGTTTATTTTAATTCTGTTAATTTATTATATATGTCTGTATATAATTATAATATATAGATTCTACTGCTTACATGACGGTTGGAATAGAAGGAAATCCCGCGCCTACGTTTAAATTTTACAAAGGTGTTACAGAAATTATCGAAGGCGGGCGCTATAAGTTTCTTACTGATGGGCAGACAAATTCAATCACGCTCTGTATGCGTAAATGTAAGCCTAATGATGAGGGCAAATACAAAGTAGTTGTTTCAAATATACACGGTGAAGATACAGCAGAAATGCAATTATATGTTTCCGATTCAAGTGGCATGGATTTTCGTGCTATGTTGAAAAAACGCCGTTATCAAAAATGGGACAAAGAAGAACAAGATCCCAATTGGGGTGATCTAAAGGAAACGGAAAAGCCGTTACCGCAATTGAAAAAAGTTGAACGGGTAAGAAAGATGAGCACTTACAAAGAAGCACACAAACTTATGGCTAATAGCGGTTGTCTCTATACAAAAATTATGTAGAGTTACGCTTCAATGCATATACGCTTTATACATATAAATGATTAAAAAAATTTTAAGTAATTTTTGTTACTAAACTCAACTAATATAGTTGTAAGTGAACTGAAAAAATTTGCATACTATTGTTTAAGAAATGGTTTTTGCTTATACATTTTTTTTATGCTTTTTTAAATATTTTTTCAAATAAATTTTTCTGTCGATGCATAATCTGCTAAATTTTGAACGCAACTGAAAATGAATGAGCTCATTTATTCCACTTTTACACATTTAATATTACGAATTACCTTTATCCCTCACATAGAAGTCATTTCATTTGAAGTTATTTTGCTGAAAAATTTTTGTAAGAGAAATTATTTTAGAGATTTGATTCCGAAATGTTTTAAATATTTTACCCTGCTCTTGAATCAAATGAAAAGGAAAAATACACATTCTGAAGAAACATCCTTAATAGGACTCAACATTTAACAGTATTTAACAATTTTACATAATGTAAATGATAATGTTAAATGATATTTTGATATGAATTGATTATACTATATATATAAATTTTTGAGTTGCGACCAAGATTTTATTACATTTAATTATCAGTATAAAAAATTCAATTTCAGTAACCTATAAACCTATAAACCTATAAATTCTGGCTTTCAAAAGTAAATATTTTGCTTTTTGTAATTTTGTATTTCATTAGAACATTTTTGAATGTTTTCAAAGTATGTTTTGGTAAGAATATATATGGAACATGAATTATGCAAAAAAATTTTAATTGTATCTGGTTTTTTAACTTAATAATTTTAGCTTATCTATCAAGCAAAATTATGAAGTTTCGAATGTTGTACAAGTTAAAGTAAGTTTTTTTTTTATTGATATATCAGTAAGTCTGTATTGATTTAAAGATATTAAATCTAAAGAATTATATATAAAAATATTTCACAATTTTTCAAGTAACCATAAATTGGCCAAATGTTTTCAATCACTGTTTTGTTTGAATTGGCTAAATATTTTTGTAATAATATTTCGCCATTGTGCTTAATAAGTAAAATTATTAAATTTTCATCTGTGTTGTATAATTATTTTATTCTTATTCTCAAATAATATGTAAAACATTTAGACACCGACATCACGTAGACCATCGTTAGCAGAGTTGATACCAGATTGGCCAATCTTACAGCCATTTCGTCGAGAGGAGGTTTGGCATCAAAAATAGTTTAATTATTAATTTTGACCTCAGATACTGCAAATACGTAAAATATAGATATGTTTAAAAACATAAAGGGCAGCTATTAAATTATTTAATGCATTTATATATACAATTTTACACATTTAACACGTTTCTTCTTACAATATTCGATCTTTTTATCATTTACATTTGGCATCTATAAGTACATATTTGTCTTTTAAAACTTTTTAATGTTACTTGTTTTTCTTATTTTTCCACAAGAATAAAAACAGGCATATTTGCAACTTAATTACTCTTGTCAGAATTTAATGCATTCTACTTACTACTTTTCATTTTATCAACCTATCAGCACTTAACAAGGTCGAATTAGAGATGCACAGATACACAGATTACATATACCTACATCTTTTGGTTTTGTCTTTTCCAGAATTAACCAATGTTGATGTGTGGTATGCGTCCTGGTACATGTGCCATTTTGTGTACTCTTATTTAACTTATATGCATCAGATATATTAACATAAGATATATTCGCTTGCGACAGTTTCCACTCGCCACTTTCCACTTGCCATTTGCCAAATCTTTATTTAAGTTTTCATTAAGTGCAGCTATCCATTAATTTTGTTTGTTGCATGCATCAATATTTTGCTCAATAATAGTTAACAGGCATATATTCCTACCCATTAACAATAGTGAAGGTTGGTTATTATTTTATTAGCTAGTAAAATTTCTTTAAGCCCTACCAAGGGAGAACAAATATGATATCGTTTAACGTCAGCTTTCTATGTCTTAATATTGGAGAAACTTAATTCGGCCATTATTGTTTTTAAACTACTAACTAATGTGAATCACCACACTTTTTTCTTCTAAATTCAGTTAAGAAAAACTTTTTGATGTTTTTTAATACTCTAAATGCGTAATAATAGCCTAACAGTTCCTAGCCTGACAGTTCTATATCATTACACTAGCCTTAAATAAAGTTCCTTTACAATACGTACAAAGTGCTCAAGGAAGGATATAGTTAAATAATATAATACATTTGATATATAAACATAATAGTCTTAAAAATATTTTTATATATCAAAGCGCATTCCTAGAAGATAAACCGAATCGCAATGTCTAAATATTGCTAAATAATAAAAATAATAACCAACCTTATTTGCAATGCGTCTAACATTTTTAGTTATTATTGTACATATATAAAAAAGCCAATAAGTACAAGTTTATTTTAAAAAATCGCTCAAATATAGTGGATATGCGATACGCAAATATAAAATTATAACAAATTATAAAACAATAACTTATTATACTGGTATCTTATCATATAATTGACTTATACATGTACATACTACGCGTGTGGTATCTGCATGTAGAAAAACACTATATACTTATATATTTATATATAAACATGGAATACCATATTGGATCAGCAAAAATTTGAGAAATGAGTCCTTGGCTCAATGAGCAAAAAAATTATGAAAGAAGGTCTGCATTTTACAATATTAAATGCGATACAAAGTGTGAAAAATTAACTTCAGAAAAAGCTTCGGTCTCAGTATCCCATTCGATCGGGTGATGTTTAATTTGTTGTGCTTTGAAAAAAAATTTTAACAATTCCAAAAAAGTACTTTCATTTGAATATTTATAAATAAAACATTTCATTGCGAAAAAATTTTGTAAGTTTTTTGTTTCGAACAGTTCAAAAATATTAACTTTAAGCCCATATCATTACTAAACGCATAAATAAAATAATGGACAGCAAATTTTGAATATTAAATTTTCTAGTATAGTTATTGTTCTAATATTTGATATATGACTGAAAATTTTAAGGGATACACTTTTGTAAACACTTTGTGCCTCAATTAATATTTAAAATATATTTACACCTTCCCTTCGAAATCTTTTGTTCCTTGAGACACGAAATCATCTCTACCATTTATGCCGTTTTAATATAGCATACCATGTACATATATTTTTATTGTGCAAAATATTCAAAAATATTATTGATCTTTCGAAAGTTGTTGTACCATATATATCTTTAATCGTGTGTCGTATATCGTATAACAAATGCTTAAAAGTAAAATATCTTTTCCCATTTTTGACAACGCAAACGATAAATACAAATAATGTCTCTCAAAATTATTTTTGAACGAAAAATCTTCCACGACTACTCAATACTGTCGCCAATTCATCAACCATCGAATTAATAGAAACAAGAGTCATTTCTTAGCCCACTTATTGATCAGTTCGCCAAAGAAGGAAAGGATAAGAAGGTTGTGTTCGAGGCCAGATTTAGTAAGCCGAATTGCAAGCCGAAATGGTTATTCCGCAAAGATGTAAGTACATAATTTTTTCTTTATTGACTGCATTTATATAAAATAATACGTATTTTATCTTTAAATATTATTTTAAATATAAATACATAAGGATCAATGTCTGTTATTTCTTATTTCTTATTTCACGTTTTCTTCAGTTCTATATTTTTAAACGAAATTTGAGTATCAAAAGTTTATAAATTTATTTTATAATAATTCTGACCGGCCTAATTTGGTCACAATAAATGAAGAAAAAAATTAATAAAATAAATTTATTTTACATATAATATATTTTAATATCGTATCTATTTTCGTATAGAAAAGGTTTCACAGTAAAGAAAATGTTTAAAACATTATACAATAATCTATTTTTAATTAAGTGAATACAACTGTTTCGAATACTGCTAATATTCATCTTAGAAAATATGAGAAAGTCTATATACAATTTTTGGACTGCAAGTGTCCTTAGCTATATAAATTTACTATAATATATATAATATAATATATATAATACTCTATATTTTAAATTTCTATTAATGACTGTTTTTGGTAACCCACTTAGCTGATTCGAGTATTGCCAAATACCCATCATAGGTGGTCTTTGGAATTATTTAATTGATTTAATTATTCAATAATAATTTTTTAGATTATAACCTGTCAAATACAACTTGAGTTTAGTCAATTTGTTGTTAATGCTGACCAACAAATACAAAACAATACAATATAATGGTTTTCCATTATTTTTCAGTTCTTGTCTTTTTTGGAGAGACACTTTTTTGGGAGCTTATTATTATGCTAATATTTCAATATTTCTTAGAAAAAAATATAAAATTTTTCTTTTTTTTAAAATTTGTTCAGTTTTACGGCATGTGTTGTTCATTTAATATTTCAATAAAAAATTGGATACTAATTCTTGTCTATTAAACAAGTTAGATATCATTGAAATCAGTTTACAATTAACAAAATTATTATTGTAGAAGTTTATTTCCTATGACCATAAACCCATTTCGAATAGATAAGGGAGTGATAGTGAGGAATAGTGAACATATTAATCTTTGTCAAATTTGAAGTCCACGTATAAAATCATGAAATCTAAACAATATGGATAATCTCTCAATTGTGACCAATTTTTGTTATTTCTGGAAGCACTTGTTTGTCTCATCTATCTTCCACTTTGCATATTTGAAATACTAATATAAGAAATGAATGGACTATATAAATGTTGGTATATTAGATATTTAAGCTACTTTTCTTACCTCTTTCCTTTCTGACTAATTTGCATTTGACTTTTATTGTGGTGAGATTGATTACACAATGATTGACGGTAATGCTTAGTACATCTAACTTATCGACCGTACTATGATATCTCCACAATCACTTACAAAGTCGTGCGTATGAACTATATGAGTATGAGCGTATGAGCTATATATACATTTGTGCTCTAAATAGATTAGAGGTATTCCTATATGGTTTTGTCAAAACAAAATGGGTTATGTTCACTGTTAAATTGATTGTTGCTCCATTAAAAAAATATTAATCAGCATACATAAAATAATAAGTTCGGTTGGCTATATATTTGAACGGATATGGTTTCCCCATTGGTGGCACTTTTTCAGAATTCATGATGTTTTAACAGAGACAAAATACAGAATATATCTTAATTCATGTCTATTTCTTTCGTACGTATGTCTGCAGAAATATACATACTAATAATAGTATGTTAAATTTTCACATTGAAAACATTTATTAGTTCATTTAAAATATAGATAAATGGACTAATAAGCCCTACTTTTTAACTGTAGTTAAAAAAATAAGTAAAAATTTCAGCAATTCGGACATCCTGTGCCTTATTTTAAAACGCAAAAATAATTATTATTCTTGTTGTAAAAATAAAAATAAAAAAAAATAATTAATATTTGAATATTTGAAAAAATATATGGTGATCCTTTTCGGAGGGCACAGTTGCACAATGCTATCAGTGCCAGCTGACTTCCCCTTTAACACGAACTACCTTCGAGGACATTGTCCGTGAGCACAGACAATGACACTAACTGTTGCAATTATGATGTACACTACATGTTACAGAATTATGTAAGAGTAATATGTGTGCTTTGTTGTTGTCGAAAACGATACAATGAATAAGATTTCACATATTTGAGGTCAAATAAGAGCAAATAAAAGGATGAAACTAATTAGTTGTAGTTTTGAAGTATTAATTGTGAGGCTAACTAGTTATTAAATACACATAGCATCTTATCAATTTTTCAATAAATAAGGCAATTTAGAAGGAGAGGGAAAATAAAAATAACAAAGAACAGATATATTAGGAGTGCTCATTTTTATTCGAATGCGGACGCTCTGAAAAAAATAGTACCCAATCATAGTTCATTAATGACTTGCTGCTCGTTTGTTCGAAAATGTCTCTAATAAAACTTTTCGTTATAAATCCAAGTTTTGAACACAATTGAGTTAATTCACATATAAACCAGAAATATCTCCATGGATAAAGTTATCGATAAAGTTTCTTTTTTAATACTTCCGTGTTTAAACACAAAATCTCTTACTGTGACCGCCTATATATACAAAAATATTTGAATTTTAAATATTTTTTCTGTGATTTTTATTCTGAAATTTGTTTTATAAAAAAGAGTTTTTTGAAATTAATTTGTTTGACGATTCGTAACAGGAACTCTTTACCGGCAGTAAGTGTAAATTTAAAAATGAAAACGACACGTATCAATTGATTATAATGGGTCCGAAAGTGGAGGATACTGGCAAATATACAATTGAAATTGGCGGAGTGTCTAGCACTGCTTTCTTGAATGTTGAAGAAGCAGATCCAAGTTATACCTTTGTTAAACAATTGAAAAAAAAAGTAGAAGGTTTTACAAAACACGAAACCACATTGGAATGTGCTGTAAGTAGTAGTATGGCTAATGTGACATGGTTTAAGGACAATAAAAAAATCGAATCCGATGATCCTCGGTATCTAATTTCTAAAGATATTAATGGAAATTTAAAATTGATCATAAAAGAGTCTGTACTGGAAGATTCAGGACACTACAGATGTCAATTAGATAAACAGCCAGATAAAACTGAAACAAATGTCAAGATAGTTGAGTATCCATATAAATTTGTGAAAGTACTAAAGTCACAACAATGTATTGAGAAAGATACAGTAACATTGGCTTGCGAAATAGATGACGCCACCGGTGACGTACAGTGGTGGCGCGGTGAAGAAGAAATAAAACCAGATAAACGTATGCAAGTAGTTAAGGATGGTCGCAAACGTAAGCTTATTATTAAGGACTGCAAGGTTACTGATGCCGGCCTATTCAAATGCACCACCAATGCTGACAAAACTGAAGCTGAAATTATTATTAACTGTGAGTAAATACCTGCAAACATTCTACGGTATACATTAAAATGTTTACATTTTCTTACTTTTATATGTTTACTTCAGTTTTGGTGTTTTTTTATATATTTTACTTCACAATGCAATATAACTAGTTAAATTTAAAAAAATTATTAACGAATTATTTTCCAATCAGATCAAAACCGTTTTAATAAGAAATTGAAAGACATTGATGGAGTAGAACGTGAGAAATTAGTACTTGATGTAGAGTTACAAGACCAAACTGCCCCGTGTGATTGGAAATTCAACGGTGAACCTATTGTACCAAATGAAAACATTGAAATTAAGAACCTTGGTGGTGGAAAACATCAACTAATATTTAATCACCTTGAAATGTCAAACGAAGGAGAAATAACTTGTCAATCAGGACAATTAGTATCTTCATGCAAGCTTACGGTTAGTAAAGGAGAGAGTAAACCAAATATAGACTGCCCAGATGAGTTTGCAGGCCCTATTAGTGCACCTGTAGTTGTAGAAGTACCATACAAAGGTGAGTCTGAAATTATTAAATTTATTAAATTTTATTAAATTTTATGAAACTTGAGTAATGCAAATCTGAATTTTAACTTTATATAGTAAACGGTACAAAACAAACACCTATTGAAGCTAAATTAATTAAAGATGGTAAGCCTCTTCCTGTGAAAGACGTTGAAGTAGCCGTAACTGATGACAAAGTCACATTTAAAATAAAAAAACCATCACGTGATATCTCAGGTCCATATCAAATAAAGATTTCAAATGGTCAAGGTGAAGATGTTAAATCTGTGCAGATTATTTGCCAAGATGTACCTAAACCTCCGTTTGAAATTGATGTTACTGAAGTATTTCAGACTTCTTGCAAAGTTAATTTCAAGCCACCAGAAGATGATGGTGGTTCACCAATAATTAAATATGTAATTGAACGACAAGATTTGAGTAAAAAGCAAAGTTGGGAAAATGTCGCTGAGGTTCTTCCAGAAGAAAAATATTCCAAGTTAATTGACGATTTATTACCGAAAAAGCAGTACAGATTCCGTATACGTGCTGTTAATAAGATTGGTCCATCTGATCCAGCTACATTTAAAAACTCAATACTTGCTAAAGATCCATGGGATGAACCAGGAAAACCAAAGTCCGTCGAACTTGTCGACTGGGATAAAGATCATGCTGATCTGAGTTGGGAAGCCCCGGATAGTGATGGTGGTGATCCAATATCTAGTTACATCATAGAATTTAAGGAAAAATTCTCCAATGACTGGGTACCAGGAAAAGAGGTTCCTGGAGATATGCGAAAAGGTACAGTAGATGGATTAAAAGAAGGACAACAGTATGAATTCCGAATCCGTGCAGTTAATAAGGCAGGACCTGGAGAACCCAGCGATAAAACGAAATCAATAATTGCTAAATGCCGTTTTGTTAAACCGTTTATAGTTGGTGATGGTTTAAAAAATATTACGGTCAAGAAAGGTCAAACTGTTCGTTATGATATTAAGTATGATGGTGAACCAGAACCTACTGCAAAGTGGTTCAAAGGTAATGATGAATTAATTTTTGACAATCAACGAATATTGCTTGAGCAATTAGAGCGCAACTCGTCAATAACAATCAAAAAGGCAGTGCGTAAAGATACAAGCAAATATAAATTAGTCCTGTCGAATAGCTCTGGAACGATTGAGTCCGAAGCACAAGTTATAGTTTTAGATAAACCATTGGCACCTACTGGCCCGTTCGAACCTGAAGAAGTGCGTGCTGATCATATAAAAATGAAATGGAAACGTCCCCAAGATGATGGTGGTTGCGATATAACTGGATATGCGTTAGAACGTATGGACGAGGAAACTGGACGATGGATTCCCGCTGGTGAAGTTGGTCCCGATGAGACCAGTTTTAACTTTAAAGGCTTAACGCCAAACAAAAGCTACAAGTTTCGAGTTAAAGCAATTAATAAAGAAGGCGAATCTGAACCACTGGAAACAACTGAACCTGTGGTTGCCAAAAATCCATACGACCCACCAAGCGCACCAGGAAAACCAACAATTAATGATTACGATAATAAGAGCGTATCACTCGTGTGGAAACTGCCTCCGTCAGATGGCGGTCGGCCTATTTTACAATATATTATTGAAATGAAAGACAAATTTTCGCCAACTTGGAATGAAGTAGCTAAGACTGAAGGACCAACACCAGAATGTAAAGTCGAGAATCTGAAAGAAAAAATGGTGTACCAGTTTCGTGTTCGAGCAGTTAACAAAGCTGGAGCATCACAACCATCCGAACCAACTGATAATCACTTATGCAAACATAAAAATCGTAAGATAACTTTCTTTATATGGATTATTATTATAAAATAAAAACACAAGAACGACACAAATTACTAATATATTTACATATATATAAAAGCTTTGCTTATTGTTAACATTTTCTAATTAAATTTTTTAAGCTACAGGAATCATCTAAAGAACTAATTTAGAAAACATCGAATAGTGTGCAGAATAGTGCAGCTTATGCTAAAACTGAATAATGAATTTTATTATTATTACATTCAAACAATTACATATATTTAAACTTTTAAAATTAACAACGACTTTTTAAATTTATCTCAAAAATCTAAAGTTTTAAGAATCGTATTACCCTTTATAAAATATTAAATGTGTATATAAAATAATTATTTTTAAATGTTTATTTAAATAAATATTTTGGGGCTCCTTAAATATTTTTTCCATGTTTATATCAATCTCAAATATAAAAGACATATTGGTATTATTTGTGTCACTTACAAAAAATTTGTTTATATTATAATTCATTATATAACACCTTCAGCTTTGTTAAGTGATTGTTGCTTGTACATTGTTTAAACTTTTAACAATTCCTTTATTTTTATTCACACCATTCAATAACTTCCATAATATTACAGTGCTTATATCTACCGATATATCGTATTTATTTGCAAAATTTTGCCAACATGACGCAGCCTTTTTTTACGCTGTAAGTGCTTTTATATATTACGCTTAATATTTCAGTATGAAGACTAACAATGCAATATACGAAAATTTTCTGTAAAACGTTTTTCAATTAAAACATTTTTTTTAATACTATGTATATAGTGAAGCCGAATATAGATCGTTCTACTTTCAAAAAAGTCACTATCAAAAGTGGTCGTACTCATAAATGGCAAGTTGATGTAACTGGTGAGCCGGTACCTAAGTTACATTGGAGCTGGAGAGATGATGTTCCTTTAACTACTGGTGATCGTATTAAAATTGAAGACGTCGATTACCATACTGACTTTACAATTGTGAATGCTGTACGCAAAGACAGTGGAATATATACATTAAAAGCTGAAAATAGAAACGGTGTTGATCGTGAAAGTGTTGAGCTTATTGTCTTAAGTAAACCAACCTCGCCAAAAGGACCTCTAACTGTAAATGATGTAACAGCAAATGGGTGTAAATTACAATGGAAGAAACCAGAAGATGATGGTGGAGTACCCATCAAGGAATATGTTGTCGAAAAAATGGACACTGCTACTGGTAAATGGGTACGAGTTGGGCGATCACCTGGTGAAAAAGAACCACCTAGTTTTGACGTAACAGGCCTCAATCCTGGATCAGAATATATGTTCCGCGTAAGCGCAGTTAATGATGAAGGTGAATCAGAACCTTTAACTACCCTTGTTGGTGTAGTTGCAAAAGATCCTTATGACGAGCCTAATAAGCCTGGAACTCCTGAAGTGACCGACTACGATAATCAGTCCGTTTCTCTTAAGTGGACTCCACCGAATAATGATGGTGGTGCAGCAATTGAAAAATACATTATAGAAAAGAAAGATAAAAATAAACCTGATTGGGAAAAAGCGCTTGAGATTCCTGGCAACCAATTAGATGCTACAGTTGCTGGCCTGCAGGAATATGGCGAATATGAGTTCCGAGTAATAGCCGTTAATAAAGCAGGACCATCACCTCCATCAGATGCAAGCAAAATGCAAATAGTGAAATATAAAAAATGTAAGTGTTTGAATTTGAAAATGTATTTAATGCTACATTTGATATAACGTTGTATGTAAATTATTGTAGTGAAACCTCGTATCGATCGTACGAATCTTAAGCCGCTGTTAATACGTTCCGGAAAACCCATTAAATATGATATCAATATACGCGGTGAACCGGCACCTAAAGTAACCTGGTACCAAAACGGCAAAGAGCTTAAGCCAGAAGAACAACCTAGTAATTGTGAAATAAAAAATATTCCTTACAACACAAAAATATCAATTACCGACAGTGTCCGTAAACATACAGGCACATACAAAATTTATGCTGTTAACGAACATGGTGAAGATGAAGCTGAGGTAGAAGTTAATGTTTTATCTGCACCTGGAAAGCCAACGGGACCACTTAAAGTAGCAGATATAACAAAAGATGGTTGTAAACTAAAGTGGAAAAAGCCCGTCGATGATGGTGGTAAGCCAATAACAGCTTATCAGGTTGAAAAGTTCGATAAAAAGCAAGGCCGTTGGGTGCCTGTTGGACGTACTTCAGGCAACGATACTGAAATAGATGTAAAAGGTTTGCAAGAAGGTCATGAATATCAGTTTCGTGTTAAAGCTATTAACGAAGAAGGTGAATCTGAACCACTGGAGACAGATGGCAGTATTATAGCTAAAAATCCATATGATGCTGCTAGTAAACCTGGAAAACCCACTATCGAGGATTATAACGAGCATATGGTCAAATTAAAATGGGAAGCTCCGAAAGATGACGGAGGTGCTCCTATAACGGGTTATATAATTGAGAAGAAAGATAAATTTTCGCCTGTTTGGGATGAAGTTTTAACCACTAATGTAAATATAAAAAAATTGTTTAATATAAAACGTGTATTCATAAATTTTATTAATTTATCGTAGTTGGTCTATGATATTTTATATTTTACTTATAAAAAATATTTTTACGAATAAACTATTTTTACAGACTCCTGCGGTAGAAGGTACTGTTGATGGCTTGACTGAAGGTAATATTTACCAATTCCGAGTACGTGCAATCAACAAAGCTGGCCCAAGTGATCCAAGTGATTCTACAGAACCACATTTAGCTAAACCAAGAAACTGTAAGACTATAGTAACATTAATTTATTATTTCGCATTGGTAAAAGCAATATACATTTTAACAAACAGAACGCAAAGCTTTTATATAAATTATAATATACAACACATGTTTTTTATTTTTATACTTCGTATGTAAGTGTATACATAATTATTTTATATTATTTATTTAGTGAAACCGTTGATAAATCGAGAAAAAATGAAACCAATTAAAGTTCGAGCGGGACAGACAGTTAAATTTGATGTAGATGTAAAAGGTGAACCTGCACCAACACTTACTTGGTTCTTTAAGGAACAAAATATAACACCAAGTGGTCAAATACGCTTAGAAAATGAAGACTATAATACGAAATTGACGCTTTTGGATCCTTCTCGTAAGGATAGTGGTCCTTACAAATTAAAAGCTGAAAATATTAATGGAATTGATGAAGCTGAAGTAGAAGTTATTATATTAGATAAGCCGTCTAAGCCAGAGGGTCCTTTGGAAGTATCAGATGTACATAAAGAAGGTTGTAAAATCAAATGGAAAAAGCCAAAAGACGATGGTGGGGTTCCGATTACTGGCTATGTCATTGAAAAATTAGATACAGCTGTTGGTCGTTGGGTACCAGCTGGTACTGCTGATCCAGAAAAATTAGAGCAAGAAATTAAGGGTCTTGAACCAAATCACAGATATCAGTTTCGTGTTAAGGCAGTCAATGAAGAAGGTGAATCTGAGCCATTGGATACAGAATCCGCCATCACGGCTAAGAATCCATTTGATATTTCTGCACCACCTGGGTTACCAGAAATACATGACTGGGATGAACATCACGTAAAACTTAAGTGGGAGCCACCAATCCGTGATGGTGGTGCACCAATTACCGGTTATATTATTGAAGTCATGGATAAAGATTCTGGTGAATTCGTTAAGGCTGCAGAGATAGATGGACCAGTATGTAATGGAACAGTTAAAAAATTAGAGGAAGGTCAACAGTATAAATTCCGTGTTCGAGCTGTTAATAAGGCAGGCCCATCAGATCCTTCTGAACAAACAAACTGGCATACTGCTAAACCACGATATTGTAAGCTTAATACTAAATGTTAATAATTATAGTTGTATTTTTTTATCTAATTTTTTATTTTTATTTTTGCAGTAAAACCTCATATTGATAGAACTAACTTGAACCCAATCCATGTTAAAGTTGGTCTTTCTATTAGTCTTGATGTTAATATAAAAGGTGAACCTGCTCCTAAAGTTGAATGGTTTTTTAAAGGTCAGCCAATAATTTCTCAAGAAGACGATATTAAAATTGATAATGTTGACTATAATACCAAATTTTTCGTAATGCGTGCAAAACGCTTACAAAGTGGAGTATACACTATTGAAGCCACTAATGAGGTTGGGAAAGACATAGCTGAAGTGGACATAACTGTTCTGGGAAAACCAGGAAAACCCAAAGGCCCACTACAAGTTAATGACATAAATAAGCATGGCTGTAAGTTAAAGTGGGAAAAACCAGAAGATGATGGAGGAGCAGTTATTGACTACTATGAAATAGAAAAACTTGATCCGCATACCGGTCAATGGCTACCATGCGGTAAAAGCACAGAGCCTGAAGCAAAAGTTATTGGTTTGCATGAGGGAAAACCATATAAATTTCGTGTTAGAGCGGTAAATAAAGAAGGTGAATCAGATCCTTTAGAGACAGAAAAATCAATTATAGCTAAAAACCCGTATGATGAACCAGACAAACCAGGACGACCCACACCAACAAATTGGGACAAAGACTTTGTTGATTTATCATGGGATCCACCGAAGAATGATGGTGGCGCACCTATTGAAAAATATATAATCCAATTGAGAGATAAATCAGGTCGAGGGTGGAAAGATGCAGCAACTGTCCCTGGTAGTGCAACTAAAGGTACCGTAACAAATGTAGAAGAAGGACATGAGTATGAATTTCGAATTATTGCTGTTAATAAAGCTGGACCTAGTGAACCAAGTGACGCCTCGAAATCTATTGTCGCAAAACCACGCTTTCTTAAACCTCATATAGATCGCAAGAATCTACAGAAAAAAATAATGCGAAGCGGCCAAATGCTGCACATGGAAGCTATTGTAAAAGCAGAGCCTCCAGCAAATGTGATTTGGACTTTCAATAATGAAGTTTTAAAGTCGAACGAAAGACTAAAAATTGAAAACGAAGATTACAAGACTACTTTCATTATGCCAAAAGTTCGACGTTCAGATAAAGGAATATATGTTGTTACTGCAAAAAATGACTCTGGTACTGATACTGTTGAAGTGGAACTGGAAGTACTGTGTAGGCCAAGTAAACCACAAGGGCCTTTGGCAGTATCTGACGTTACAGCGGAAAGTGTACATCTTAAATGGAATAAACCTGACGATGATGGAGGTGAACCTATTGAGCACTATTTAGTTGAGCGTATGGATACAGAAACTGGACGGTGGGTACCTGTTTGTACGACAAAGACTCCAGAAGCAGATATTTCTGGGTTAACGGAAGGTAGAGATTATTTCTTTAGAGTTAAGGCCGTTAACGCTGAAGGAGAATCAGAAGCATTGGTTACGGACCTTCCAACAACTGCAAAGAATCCATACAATGCAACTGACACGCCAGGAAAACCACAAATTACTGATTGGTCCTCTAATCATGCAGACCTTAAATGGAAGGCACCAGACGATGACGGTGGAGCGCCTATTACAGGCTATGTGATTGAGAAAAAGGATAACAACACTGGAAAATGGCAAAAAATATTAGAAACAAATACACCTGATTGCAAAGCCCGTGTAAATGACTTAATTGAAGGTACAAAATACCAATTCCGCGTAAAAGCCATAAATAAAGCAGGTCAAAGTAAACCCTCCGAGCCATCAGATCAAATGATAGCAAAAGATCGTTTTGCACCTCCAAAAATTGATCGTACAAATATTAAAGACCTTGTGATTAAATCAGGACAACCTATACGATATGACATCAAAATATCGGGAGAACCTGCGCCAACGAAAACTTGGTTCCATAACAAAGCTCGAATTGAAGATAGTAGCGATATAAATATTGATATCGAACCAAATCGCACGAAATTTGTAATTTCATTTGCTAAACGTGTAAATACAGGTAAATATACAATCAAGGCAGAAAATGATTCAGGACGCGATGAAGCAACTTTCGATATAACTGTTCTTGATAAACCATCAAAACCTGAAGGTCCCCTACGTGTTTCTGATGTACATAAAGAAGGTTGTAAATTAAAGTGGAATCCACCTTTAGACGATGGTGGTTTACCTATTGAGCACTATATTGTTGAAAAAATGGACACAGAAACTGGGCGTTGGTTACCATCTGGGCGTTTTAAAGAACCATTTGCAGAATTAAACAACTTAGTACCAGGTCAAGAATACAAATTTCGAGTTTTAGCTGTTAATACTGAAGGCGAATCTGAACCCCTTGATGGTGATCATTCTGTTGTAGCTAAAAATCCTTTCGATGAACCCGGTAAACCAGGCACTCCAGAAGCAACAGATTGGGATAAAGACCATGTTGATTTAGTATGGCGCCCACCCCTGAATGATGGAGGTTCTCCAGTTACATCGTACGTAGTAGAAAAACGAGAAAAGGGCACTGAAAAATGGATAAAAGGAGCGGAGTTATTAGCCCCTCCTCTTGGTAATGAATGTAAAGTAACGGTACCTAATTTAGAAGAAAATTGCGAGTATGAATTCCGTGTGAAAGCAATCAATGCTGCAGGTCCTGGAGAGCCATCCGATGCCAGTGAAATCGTCACCACAAAGTCCAGAAAACGTAAGGACATAATTATAAATTCATTTTCTTTCTGTAAAGTAAAATCACAAACATTTCTTTTATCTAAATTTTTGTATGCATAATTTTCAGCTGTGAGTGAAATATGACTAAAAGTTGGAATACTAAAATTTATACTTAGTTTCTGTTGCTAAATATTAAAATTATTCCAATAGCTCATTTAAAAAATCAGCTTGCAACTAATAGTAATAAACTATTCATATTAACATGGCTATAAAAAACATGTTTCATATAGTTTTAATTCAAAGCGATAATTTATTAATAATATTGTTATAGTCACACCCCTTATTAAATCAACGTCTATTGTTTTCTTTTACAGCTCAAATTTAGAGTTCTTGTAAATTTATTAAAATATATAGCAAAAAATTACAAACAATTTACTTAATTTCAGCCTTTATTTGTAACTAATAATCAATTATAAACTTGATCTTAATTACTATTTAATCACTTAATACTATAATTTATATCTTCATATTTTGATGCAGTTGCTCCAAAAATTGACCGCCGAAATATACAAACATATAATATAAAGACTAGCGAATCTTTATACTTAGACATCAAAGTCAGCGGAGAGCCAGCCCCAGAAATTTCTTGGTCCCAAAATGCAAAATCTATTCAAGAAAATTCAAACCGATTCATTGAAAATGTGCCTTATAATACGAAATATATAATTAAAAATCCCGAACGAAAAGACACTGGCCTCTACAAAATAATTGCAACAAATAAGTATGGTCAAGATCAAGTTGAGTTCCAAATTAATATTATAAGTGAGTTAAAAGTGAATTAAAAATTGACTTAATAATATTTAAAACAACTTTTTTATTTTAAAGCCAAACCTGGCAAGCCCGAAGGTCCCTTGGATGTAAGTGATGTACACAAGGAGGGTTGCAAGCTTAAGTGGAAAAAACCAAAAGATGATGGAGGAGAGCCAATCGAAGCCTACGTAATTGAAAAGTTTGATACTGAAGCAGGTATTTGGCTGCCTGTTGGTAAATCTGATATACCTGAATTTGAAGTAGATGGCTTAATACCTGGCCATGAATATAAATTCCGAGTCAAAGCCGTAAATAAGGAAGGAGAATCTGAACCTCTTGAAACTTTTGGTTCAATCATTGCTAAGGATCCATTCGGTAAGATATTTGTTATTAAATGTTTTGAAATGAAGAAATATAATTTTTTATTTATTAGTAATTCCTTCTAAACCTGGTGCCCCTGAACCAATTGACTGGTCTTCAAATAAGGTTGAATTAGCTTGGACAGAACCAGCTAGTGATGGTGGCTCGCCAATAATTGGTTATATAATAGAGAAAAAAGATAAATATAGTCCAATGTGGGAAAAAGCTTTAGAAACTGATTCACCTACCCCTAATGCAGTTGTAAATGGATTAATTGAAGGAAACGAATATCAGTTTCGAATATTAGCTGTAAATAAAGCAGGGGCATCTGAGCCATCTGATCCTGGAAAGACATTTACTGCTAAACCTCGTTTCCTACCACCAAAAATTGACCGTAGAAATCTTCGAGATGTTACAATATCGGCAGGTGCACCACTGAAATTAGATGCAAATATAATTGGTGAACCGGCTCCTAAAGTTGAATGGAAATTTTTAAATTGTCCATTACTACCAAGCAAAACTGTATTAATTGAGACTCCTGATTATTACACAAAACTTGTGATAAGACCAACTGTTCGTGGTGATTCTGGTGAATATTTAGTTACTGCTACTAATAGTTCGGGCAAAGATAGCGTTTTAATTAATGTAACTGTTACTGATAAACCAAGTCCCCCAACTGGTCCACTTCAGATTTCTGATGTGCATAAGGAAGGATGCCATTTAAAATGGAAACGTCCAAAAGATGATGGTGGCATTCCTATAGAATACTTTCAAATTGAAAAATTGGATCCAGAAACTGGATGTTGGACACCTGTTTGTAGGTCAAACGAAACACAAGCAAATGTAACTGGCTTAAAACCAGGACAAGAATACAAATTTCGTGTTTCAGCTGTGAACTCTGAAGGAGAGTCAGCCCCTCTTGTGGGTGATGAAACAATAATAGCTAAAAATCCATTTGACGAGCCTGGAAAACCAGAAAATTTAAGAGCAACTGATTGGGACAAAGACCATGTTGATTTAGCATGGACAGCACCTTTAAGTGATGGAGGTTCTCCTATTTCAGCATATCTTATTGAAAAGAAGGATAAATACGGTCAGTGGGAAAAAGCATTGGAAGTTCCTAGTGATCAAACCAAAGCTAAGGTTGCAGATTTAATTGAAGGACAAGCATACGAATTTCGGGTTTCTGCCATTAACGCAGCAGGACCTGGTGATGCATCCGATTCCATTGGCCCAATTATTGCAAAACCTAGAAATAAAGCTCCTCTTATTGATCGTACTAATTTAATTGAAGTAAGAATCAAAAGCGGCCAAAGTTTTGCGTTTGATTGCAAAGTTTCTGGTGAACCAGCGCCAAAAACTAAATGGTTGAATAATAAGCGTGAATTAGTTACAAAAGATAACATAAAAGTTATTCATATTGATTACAATACGAAATTAAAAATATCCAACGCAACACGATCTGATTCTGGCATTTATACTGTTCATGCGGAAAATTTAAGTGGCGAAGACAGTGCAGATGTGAAAGTCATTGTTATTGACAAGCCATCACCTCCTACTGGTCCAATTGATATAAAAGATGTTCATGCTAATGGATGTTCCCTTCATTGGAATCCTCCACATGATGACGGAGGACAACCAATTGAAAATTATGTAATAGAAAAACTTGATGAAATCAGTGGCAGATGGGTACCGGCTGGAGAGACCGAAGGTGCTGCGACGAATTTTGAGGTAAAAGGCTTAACGCCAAATCATAAATATAAATTCAGAATACGTGCCAAAAATCGTCAAGGATTATCCGATCCATTAACTACACCACATTCAATTGAAGCAAAGAATCCATATAATAAATCTTCTAAACCAGGCACTCCACATATTACTGATTTTGATAAAGATTTTGTTGATCTCGAATGGACCCGACCAGAAAATAATGGAGGGTCTCCGATAACTGGCTATGTTATTGAAAAACGAGACAAATACGCGACAGATTGGGAGCCATGTGCAGAGGTAGATGGAGATTCAACCACGGGCCATGTACCTGATTTAATTGAAGGCGTTAAGTATGAATTTCGTGTACGGGCTTTAAATAAAGCTGGTCCCAGTGATCCTAGTGATCCTACCGCACCACATATTGCACGTGCCAAAAACTTAGCACCAAAAATTGATCGTAATTTTATGCTCGACATTAAAATACGAGCAGGAAGTACTTTTGAATTTGACGTACCCGTCAGTGGGGAACCCGTACCAAGTAAAGACTGGTCACACGAGGACAATATGGTTATAAATACAGACCGTATTAAAATATCTAATGAGGATCACAAAACTAAATTACGCGTAATTGATGCTAAAAGAGCCGATACTGGAACTTATAGCCTTGTGGCACGCAATTGTAACGGAGTCGATAAAGCTACTGTTAAGGTAACAGTGACAGATGTACCTACTCCTCCAGAAGGTCCAATACGTCCAGATGAAATTACTAAGAATTCAATTAAACTTCACTGGCGTCCACCAAAAGATGATGGCGGTTCTGAAATAACACATTATGTAGTTGAGAAAATGGATACAGATAATTTACGATGGGTACCTGTAGGTGAATGTGCTGATACTGAAATCCGTGCTGAAAACTTAATTGAAAATCATGATTACAATTTTAGAGTTCGAGCAGTTAATAAACAAGGTGAATCAATGCCTTTAACAACAACTCAGACTATTACTGCTAAAGATCCATATTCACGCCCTGATAAACCCGGTCAACCTCAACCAATTGATTGGGGTAAAAATTTTGTGGATTTAAAATGGACTGCTCCAAAAAAAGACGGTGGCTCTCCAATTTCTGGTTATATTATTGAAAAAAGACCTAAATTCGGTCAGTGGGAAAAAGCATTAGATGTTCCTGATGGGGAGACTACCGCACATATTCCGGATTTAACAGAAGGCGGTGAATATGAATTTCGTGTCATTGCAGTTAATCGTGGTGGTCACAGTGATCCATCTGATGCGTCACCATCTGTTACATGTAAACCTAGATTTTTGGCACCATCATTCGATAAATCCTTACTAAAGGATATAACAGTACATGCTGGCAAACGTTTAGGCTGGACCATACCCATTGAAGCATCACCAAAACCGTCTATTAAATGGCTTGTTAATGGTAAAGAAATAACAGAAAGTTCGCGTGTTGATATGAGTTTATTCAACAATGATATTTCATTTAATATACCTTGCTCTCAACGGACAGATGAAGGTCGATATACTCTTGTTTTAAGAAATGAGCATGGATCTTTTGAGTCATCAGCTTATGCTACTGTATTAGATTGTCCAAGCCCACCTATAGGTCCCTTAAATATTTCAAAAATAACAAAAGAAGGATGTCATTTATCATGGAAAATTCCCGAAGACGATGGCGGTTCTCCAATTTTGCATTACATAATTGAAAAAATGGATTTGTCCAGAGGAACATGGTCAGATGCTGGTATGAGCACAAATCAAGTTCATGATGTATCACGGTTAATTCATAAAAAAGAATACTTATTCCGAGTTAAAGCAGTGAATGCTATTGGTGAATCATTACCATTAGAAGCAAGCAACAGTATTATAGCTAAAAATGAGTTTGATGAGCCAGATCCTCCAGGTAAACCGATTATTATTGATTGGGATAGAGATCATGTCGATTTGCAATGGACAGAACCGAAAAATGATGGAGGAGCACCTCTCACAGAGTATATTGTGCAGAAAAAAGAAAAAGGTAGTCCATATTGGACAAATGTTTTGCGTGTACCACCAAATAAAGTTATGGCAACAGTTCCTGATTTAATTGAAGGACAAGAATATGAATTTCGTATTATTGCTGCAAATAAAGCAGGTCAATCAGAACCATCTGAACCATCAGATATGATCATGGCTAAACCTCGTTACCTAGCACCCAAAATTATTACTCCATTGAAGGATGTGCGTATAAAAGCCGGACTTATTTTTCATTTAGATATTGACTTTATAGGAGAGCCAATACCTGACGTAATTTGGAGTCATAATAATTCAATTTTATCAACTGATAACCGCTCTACTATAACTTCCGTTGGTCATCATACAGTTGTACATACAGTTAACTGTCAGCGTGATGATTCAGGCACTTATCATTTGCTTTTACGAAACGATTCCGGTATTGATGAAGGAAGCTTCCAGTTAATTATATTGGATCGTCCTAGCCCTCCCATTGGACCCATGGAATATGAAGAAATAACTGCTAACTCCGTCACAATTTCTTGGAAACCACCTAAAGATAATGGGGGATCTGAAATATCTGCTTATGTTATTGAAAAACGTGATCTGACACATGGTGGTGGCTGGGTTCCCGCTGTTACTTATGTTAATGCAAAATACAACCATGCTGTTGTACCTAGATTAGTGGAAGGAACAAAATATGAGTTTAGAGTGATGGCCGAAAATATGCAGGGGCGATCAGATCCACTTAATTCGGAGCATCCGATAATAGCCAAAAATCAATATAATGTTCCTGGTGCACCTAGTAAACCAGAAATTGTTGACAGTGATAAGGATCACATTTCATTTAAATGGAAACCACCAATAAGTAATGGTGGATCACCTATACTTGGATACGATATTGAAAGACGTGATGTTTCGAATAATGGTAAAAGTTATAATATATGCAAATATATATATAAATGCATTTAATCTTATACACAAACATAACATAATCACTTTCATATTTATATATATAAAATTGATAAAACACAAGAATACTTGTGTTTTTCGGTTTTTGATATATAAAATTTTATATGCAAATATATATTTATTTTACTTAGCAATTTAAAAGTAATAGGAGATTAATGTTTAATAATAAATTTCAGTTCTTAATAATTTGAAGTGACGGTATTGATAAAAACATGGCCTTTAGGACTAGCTTTTATGAATAATGTGGCCATCAAATATCAATTGTTTTGATAACAAAAATTACTTTTTGTTCATAACTCAAAGTGTCTCTAAACAATTTTTAATAGTTGAAAGTCTAAATTATTGTGAAAATTAAAATGAATAGGTGATATGAATAGGTAAATAACATTTACTTTGACTACTGCAATTTGCCGAATGTTTAAATCTTGTATTCTACAATTCTTATATATATTAATAAGTGTATGTAGATATGTATTTAGAGAGTGTGTATTTTAGACTTAGTCGGTAAAAAAAAACCTAAGCATTATGAATTTTCAAAATGAGTCAACATACACGATGACCAAGAAGATTTGTCTCAAAAAAAAGTATTAAATTCCAAATAATTCAATAATGACTAATAATTCAAGTCACATATCAGTTCAATATCCTTTAACTCGATTCTTGACATATCCATGTATTCAAATGACTCCATAAATGATTATAGTTCAAAGTAGAAGAGCATTTTGCTGAATAATGAAATTGAATATTGTGTGGGCTTGATTTTCTGAGTTTCTTAGAGTAGGAAATATTTTTCTACAAACGTGACAGATCTTGATTTCGTTACCTCCGATTTGCTAAAAACTTTTGTGAGTTTCTATAATAAAAAAAGACCTGTATCTGGATAAAACATTTTTAAATATTTTTTCTAGGAGATTTGGACCCATGAGGTTTATAGAATTTACATTTTAGATTATTAAGATTATTGATTGAAAAATGGCTTAAACAATTGAAATGGTTTATACTGAAGTGCTAATATTAACAGTTAATTTAAAATAAATATTTTTTTTAAAATTATATGGTGAAAATTTATATTTCTTATTTTTGATTTAAATTTATCATTAAATTTTACATAAAAATTGAATGCATATGAACAAGTGAATAAAATTTTCAACTACATAACTACCATACATACTACATGCAATTTTTTAAAGTATAATTTCAAGAAAACCATTTTTTTAAATTAATTTTTAATTATAATTTTTTTGTATTATAAAAATATGATATTAATATGATATTGTTTGTTAATAATAAGTCTCTACTCACTCTCACTGTATTTCCAAAGACCGAGATATGGCCATATTTGTCTAAAATCAAATTCTCGAAACCCCATATGATCCAATATCCTAAGAAAAATATTTAAGAATGTATACTCGTAATAAAGTACAGATTTTTTTATTTTTTTAGAGAACAATTTTTGTTAAAAGCAGCCCAGTTAATAACACGAAGTATGAGATGTTTTGATTTAACTTTAAAAAATGTTTATAAAGTTAAAACAAAAAGACGAAATACGTGCTTCCGTTAATTTAAAGCATAAATAAACTTTTTAATATAAACGAACCACTGTAATTGTACTAAATGTATAATTATTGAACTGATGTCTGAACTATTAAACAGGTGTTTTTTATTTTAAATAAATTTAAATGCAAGAAGCAAATGATGTACCCATTAACATTTACGTCGGTTTTTTCTAATTTTCTAAACTCTTCTTAAACTTAAACTTTATTTAAAAAATAATTTATTTAAGTCAAAATATCTCATATTTCGGATATTTCTATTTCATATTGATGAGGTGGCCTTATGCTTTCATGCAAGAGCATGAGTACTACATATACTTATATTTTGTGTATATTACACTAAACACATCCGCATACAAACACTTTTATGCGTTATATTAAAAATGTAAAAGCTGAAATACACCTAATTTAAAATTTCGTATATTTTTAGCTGTTGGTCGTTGGATAAAAATAAACAGAGACAATGTCCCACTTACAGACTTCAGTGATGAAACGGTTACTCCAGATCATCAATATCAATACCGAATATCTGCAATAAATGCAGCTGGAAATGGTAAACATTCTGAGCCATCATCAATATTTTCAGCTAAACCAATGCGGGAAAAACCGCATCTTTATCTTGATGGGCTAATTGGACGGAAAATCAAGGTAAAGGCTGGAGAACCAGTCAATCTCGTGATTCCCATTTCTGGTGCGCCCACTCCAACTATAGAATGGAAACGAAATAACATAAAGCTACCTGAAAGTAATAAAATTTCTTATCATACAACATCCGAGAAAACAATATTTCGCATTGACGATTCTGTTCGGCAAGATGCTGGATGCTACACCATTACTGCTAGTAATGAATTTGGTAAAGACGCAGCTGATATAGAAGTTATCGTTGTCGATAGACCTGGTCCTCCAGTTGGACCAATAAATTATACAGATGTTTCTCCGGATCATATATCTTTGTCATGGAATATACCAAAAGATGATGGAGGAAGCGATATCACAGGTTATGTTATTGAAGTAAGTGAATTTGGTACGGATAATTGGCGAACGGTTCCAGGATATTGTTCCAAACCTAATCATACAGTTAAGGGGTTAACTGAAGGAAAAAAATATGTATTCCGTGTACTAGCAGAAAACATTTACGGCTTATCAGAGCCATTAGAAGGCAAACCAATTGTAGCCAAGTCTCCATTCGACCCTCCAGATGCACCTAGTCAACCCGATGTTGTTGCATACTCTCCCACTTCTGCTAGTTTAGAATGGAAACCACCAGAATATTGTGGTGGAAAACCAATAACAGGTTATATTGTAGAAAGAAGAGAGCGAGGAGGTGAATGGATAAAATGCAACAATTATCCAACACCAAACACAAGTTATACAGTTCAGGACTTACGAGAAGGTGGACGTTACGAATTCCGTATAAAAGCTGTAAATGAGGCTGGCCCTGGAAAACCATCAAAACCATCTGAGCCTATAACAGCACAGTTGCAACGCTTCAGACCAGATCCTCCTGAACCTCCCAAACCCGATCGTATTACTAAAGATAGTGTTACCCTTTCATGGATGCCTCCCAGAAATGATGGAAAGTCAAGAATTAAAGGCTATTTGTTAGAAATGAAACCTAAAGGTTCTAAAGAATGGGTACCGGTGAATGATGTACCTATTGCTGGAACAGTATATACTATTCCAAATCTTAAAGAACATGAAGAGTATTCCTTCCGCGTTATGGCGCTGAATGACGTTGGGCCATCAGATCCATCAAAACCTTCTCAAGTGATTGTTGAAGAACAACCAAATAAGCCATGCATGGATCTTGGTGGAGTGCGTGATATTATTTGCCGTGCTGGAGAAGATTTTAGTATACATGTACCATATATTGGTTTTCCAAAACCAACCGCAAGCTGGTATGTTAACGATAATTTATTAAATGACGATGATAATCGTATGTTCCAGCATCTTACTAATGATGCAGCTTCGTTTGTAACTAAAAACTCTAAACGAACAGATTCTGGTCAATATCGATTACAATTAAAAAATCCATCTGGATTCGATACTGCTACTATTAATGTTAAAGTATTAGATCGCCCTCAACCTCCTATAAATTTAAGAGGAGATGAGTTTGCAGGAGACTCTTTGACGCTCTATTGGAATCCACCAAAAGACGATGGCGGCTCCCCAATTACAAATTATATTATTGAGAAAAAAGAATCTAAATCTTCAACGTGGTCTAAAGTAAGCAGCTTCTGCACTGTTCCATTTGTTCGAATAAGGAATTTGACTATTGGGAAAGAATACGATTTTAGAGTTTTTGCCGAAAATAAATATGGACAATCTGAACCAGCCACTACTTTTGAACCAATACGTGCAAGACATCCATTTGATGTTCCCAATGCTCCAGGAATTCCGCGAGGAATTGATTCTACAGAAGATAGTATAACAATTACTTGGAATAAGCCAAGACATGACGGAGGTTCACCTATTACTGGTTATATAATTGAAAAACGCTTATTAAGTGAAGAAAAGTGGACAAAAGCTATTCAATCTTATTGTCCGGACTTGACATGCAAAATTCCAAATTTAATTGAGAACGCTGAATATGAATTTAGGGTTGCAGCGATTAATGCTGCTGGACAATCACCTTATAGTCAATCAAGCGAACCTATTTTCTGTCGAAGGCCACCGCATGCTCCTAAAATTACTTCAGATTTATCTATACGTGATATGATTGTTATTGCTGGAGAACAATTTTGCATAACTGTCCCTTATCATGCAAATCCAAGACCAACACCAAATTGGACCATAAACAATCAAGATATATCGCAGAGCGAACGTATTAAATATGAAACCAATGATTTTAGTTCAGCATATATCAACAAATGCGCAAAACGTTCTGAAACAGGCACTTACACAATAACACTAACGAATAATAAAGGATCTGATTCCGCTTCTTGTCATGTTACAGTTGTAGATAAACCTAGTGCTCCACAAGGTCCTCTTTTAGCAAGTGATATAACACCTGATACATGTACGTTATCTTGGAAGACTCCATTAGATGACGGTGGTTCACCAATTACTAATTATGTAGTTGAAAAATTAGATAATAGCGGTACATGGGTTAAAGTTAGTAGTTTCGTACGTAATATTCATTATGATGTTATGGGATTAGAACCAAATCATAAGTATCACTTCCGTGTGCGTGCTGAAAATCAGTACGGTCTTTCTGATCCTCTGGATATGGAGGAACCAATAACCGCTAAGTTCCAATTTACCGTACCAGATGCACCAGGGCAACCAAAAGTTATTGACTGGGATTCAGGTAATGTGACGCTAATATGGACACGTCCAAATTCTGATGGTGGTTCACGAATTCAAGGCTATCAAATTGAATATAGAGATGTTGTTAATGATTCTGCTTGGAACACTTATGAATTTTTAATTAAAGACACTAAATACCAACTATACAACTTAACTAATGGCAGTGAGTATGAATTTCGTATTAAAGCTAAAAACGCTGCTGGATTAAGTAAACCATCCCCACCATCATTGCGATTCAAACTGAAAGGAAAATTCAGTGTTCCTTCACCACCAGGTACCCCTCAAGTTATAAAGGTTGGTAAGAATTATATAGATCTTAAATGGGAAAAACCATTAAGTGATGGCGGATCACGAATAACTGGGTATGTTATTGAGCGACGAGATATTGGTGGAGCTATTTGGGTAAAATGTAATGATTATAACGTAATGGATACTGAGTACACTGTCTTAAATCTTATTGAAATGGGAGACTACGAGTTTCGAATATTTGCTGTAAATGCTGCTGGGCGTTCAGAACCAAGCTTATGCACAATGCCTATTAAAGTGTGTGAAGTTTTAGGTGGTGAAAAACCAGACTGGATAACACGTCTTCCAGACTATGTAGCTCCATTAGGGAAAGAATTTACATTACAGTGTCATGCAACGGGCAAACCAGCGCCTGTTGCTAGGTGGTTGCGGAATGGTAGAGAACTTCAAATGGGTGGTGGCCGTATATCATGTGATAATAAAGATGGAATATTCCGATTGTTTATTAACAATATTCAGTCTACTGATGAAGGAGATTATACATGTGAAGCCATCAACTCGTTAGGTTTCGTACATACTACAGGCCACCTGAAAATTGGTTCACCACCAATAATAAATAGATGCCCAACAGAACTAAGTTTGCCAGAAGGTGATAACACAAAGATTAAAATATATTACTCAGGTGATCAGCCAATGAAAGTTAAAATTACACTAAATAATGAACTTCTGTCTGATATGGATAATGAATCACACTTTAAATATACAATTTTCGATGATTATGTTGCTATATTTATACGAAATATTGTTAAAAGTGATGCCGGGTCATATAAAGTTGAGTTTGAAAATGATTCGGGTGTGGCTACTGGTCAGTTTAATGCACATATAACTGGTCTTCCATCTGCACCACTTGGACCAATGGGCATTTCAAAAATTAACAAGCATTCATGTACTTTAACTTGGCGACCTCCAACATTTGATGGTGGCTTGCGCATTACTCACTATGTTGTAGAACGCAAAGATATTACATCGCCTCATTGGATAACTGTTTCAAGTTTCTGTAAAGATCTGTCATTTAATGTGCAAGGTTTAACAGAAAATCAAGAATACATATTTCGTGTTATGGCAGTAAATGAAAATGGAATGGGACCAGCTTTAGAAGGTCTTAATCCAGTTAAAGCAAAAGACCCAATTGATCCTCCATCTCCTCCAGGCATACCTGAAATAACAGAAATTGGAGGTGATTTTGTCCATTTGAAATGGCAGAAACCTTTATCAGATGGCGGTTCACACATACAAGGCTATTGGATCGAAAAGCGTGAGGTTGGAAGCAATACATGGCAACGAGTTAATGTAACCATTTCAGCAGCAGATCAAATTAATTGTAAAAACCTAATCGAAGGGCGGCAATACGAATTTAGAATTTTTGCGCAAAATGAGGCTGGTTTGTCGAAGGAATCACAATCTTCTACAGCTGTTAAAATAGTAGATCCAAAAGCTGCTAGTCCGCCAGTCATTGTAACACCACTTAATGATGCCAATTGCATACAAAATCATAACGCTCAATTTGTATGCACTATAACTGGTGTGCCAAAACCAATAATTACATGGTACAAAGGTGCTCGAGAGATAACAAATGGAGCAAGATACCATATGTATGCTGAAGGCGATAAATATTATTTAAATATCAACGACGTTTTTGGTGAAGATGGTGATGAATACGTATGTCGAGCAGTTAATAAGGCAGGTGCTAAGTCCACTAGAGCTACATTATCGATTATGAGTAAGTATACATAAAAATCGTTATTTTGTATTTATATATATTGTGCTTTATATTAAATTATTATATAGCTGTTCCAAAACTTAATGTTCCTCCACGTTTTCGAGATACCGCATTCTTTGATAAAGGCGAAAATATAGTCATTAAAATACCGTTTACTGGTTTACCTAAGCCACGTATACAATGGATGCGTGAAGGTGAAAATATAGAATCTGGAGGACATTATAATGTCGAAGTAAAAGAGCGACATGCCATTTTAACAATTCGGGATGGTTCTAAACTTGATTCAGGTCCTTACCGTATCACAGCCGAAAATGAACTTGGTTCTGATTCAGCAATTATTAAAATTCAAATAAGTGATCGCCCTGATCCTCCACGCTTCCCTCTCATTGAGAATATTGCAACTGATTCTCTCTCAGTTAGTTGGAAACCACCTATTTGGGACGGTGGTAGCGCAATCACTAATTATCTTGTTGAAAAACGTGAAACTCCTATGTCATCATGGATTCGTGCAGGTAACACTCGTCTCACATCAATGGCTATCTCTGGTCTAACCCCTGGCAAGGAATACGAGTTCCGCATTTATGCTGATAATGTATATGGTCGCTCGGATCCATCTGATGTTAGCACTATTATAAAAATGAAAGATACAGGGAAAAAGAAAACTAAAGAGAGGAAATATGAAATTGACGAAAATGGCAAAAAAATTCGTGGCAAAGCTGATGGTCCTATTAAGGATTATGATTCCTATGTTTTCGATATATATTCAAAGTTTGTGCCTCAACCTGTTGAAGTTTCAACCGATAGTGTCTATGATAAGTATGATATCTTAGAAGAGATTGGTACCGGAGCTTTCGGTGTTGTACATCGCTGTCGTGAGCGCAGTACTGGTAATATATTTGCAGCTAAATTTATACCTATATCTCATGCTATCGAAAAAGATCTAATAAGAAAAGAAATCGATATAATGAATCAATTACACCATCAGAAATTAATAAACCTACATGATGCATTTGAAGATGAAGACGAAATGGTTCTCATACTTGAATTGTAAGGAAATATATTTATTATTTATCATTTGAATAAATAAAAACTAAAAATTTATTTTTCCTAGTCTGTCTGGTGGAGAGCTATTTGAGCGAATCACAGCCGATGGTTATAATATGACTGAAGCTGAAGTTATAAATTATATGAGACAAATATGTGAAGGAGTACGTCACATGCATGAAAAAAATATTATTCATTTAGACATCAAGCCTGAAAATATTATGTGCCAAACCCGTACTAGTACAAATGTAAAACTTATAGATTTTGGACTTGCAACAAGGTTGAATCCAAATGAAGTGGTAAAAATTACAACTGGAACAGCAGAATTTGCTGCTCCAGAAATAGTAAATAGGGAACCAGTTGGATTCTACACCGATATGTGGGCGACCGGTGTTTTGGCATATGTTCTGTAAGTAAAGCAACTGAATTGGTTTTTAATTTACTCTTAGGCTTTTAATATAACTTGCAATACAATAATAGTACAAATAGTCTAAGTAGGCTAAACAATAACTTGTGTTATGTTATAGTTATATTTAATGTCTTAGAAAGGTTTTAACAAAATTATCAGAAAATGAACAAACAATCACATTTTTTTCAAATATGTGTTCGTATATACACATATCTAAATTATATCAGCTTAACGCTTAAATATCGTAGCTTCAGAGTTGCTATAAAGTGCAAGTTCAGCCAAATCAAACTTAAATTCTCAGTAATCTAGAATTTTTTATTAATTTTAGATTTAGCAAATCTAAAAGATCAAATAAAACAACTATTTATTGAAGATAGTTATATTACCATTCCAATGATTTATTCAGTGACAACTATCCTAACAAAAAAAATCTTGTGGATGTATTTTGCACTGTTATTATTATTAATATGCTATTATTAATAATAATAAGTATTACTTTGTTTTTTTATGTTTTTATTTTTTACTTTATAACATAATGCAAAAGTTTCGAAAAATAGTAAACTACAACAACAACATTTTTTTTTATATTATTTTAATTAATTCAATCTCTGGCTGACCATATAGCTGTTTGAAGTATTGCCAAATACTTATCATCTGTTGTCTTGGAATTATATATTATGTTTAATTATTTGTAAATAATTTTTTTTTGAGACAGCGAGTACCAAGGCTTGAACTCGTGCCCTGTCAAATTGGAAGCTCAGAGTCAGTGTTCATTAGCTAAATGATCCAAAAACGCATTTGATGAAACTCTTTTAAATAATGTACCTATATTTAGATAATATCTTAATACATTTTCAAGAAAATTTTGAATATGCTATAACTTCATTCATATTCAATTGAAATATATTAAAGCATTCGTCCTTCTATTCTTTCTACTATAGTTTTTCTTATACAAATATTATCATCGACATAACAGCGATATATTCTGAATGTTTTAATTTATTAGTTTTTAATCAGTATAAAAAAAGTTGTTAGTTTAATGTTCTTAGTGAACAGTTCATAGGAATAACTTTTTCTCTTTAATTCTAATATATTTAATTACAATTATTATTAGTTAAATGCTTTTTATATTAATATACAATATAATATTAATAATTGAAATTATTTATTTTCTTAAAATAGCTTAAGTGGTCTATCTCCTTTTGCTGGAGACAATGATATCCAAACTTTAAAAAATGTTAAAGCGTGCGATTGGGACTTTGATGAAGAAGCCTTTAGACATATTTCAGAAGAGGCTAAAGACTTTATTCGTAAATTACTTTTAACTAATAAGGAAAAACGTATGACAGCTCATGAATGTCTCCTTCATCCATGGTTAAGTGGTGACCATGCTGATCGTTCCACACAAATTTCACGTGATCGGTATATCGCATTCCGTGACAAATTAAGAAAAAATTATGATGACTTCCACAAATATTTGGCTCCAATTGGAAGACTTTCAGAATATTCTTCATTACGTAAATTGCTTGTGGAAAAGTATAAAATTCACGAAACTTCATTTGACCGCCGACAGGCTGCCCCACGATTTGTCATACGGCCATATTCCCAATTTTGTTATGAAGGCCAAAGTGTTAAATTTTACTGCCGCTGTATTGCAATTGCAACTCCAACTTTGACATGGTCATATAACAACGTCGAGTTGAAACAAAGTGTCAAATTTATGAAAAGATATGCTGGTGATGATTATTATTTCATTATAAATCGTGTTAAATTGGATGACCGGGGTGAATATATAATTCGTGCAGAAAATCACTACGGTTCCAGAGAGGAAGTTGTTTTCCTTAACGTTCATCCACTGCCAAAGGAACAGCCGAAATATAAAAATGAATCAACATTAGTTAGAAGACGTGAACCTTTACCATATACTTTCTGGCAGGAAGAATCTGAATCAGCCCCCAGTTTTACATTCCTGCTGCGTCCACGTGTTATGCAAGCACGAGATACATGTAAATTGCTTTGTTGCTTAAGTGGCAAACCAGTACCTAGCGTAAAATGGTATAAGGACGGCCGTGAATTGAACAAATTTGAATATTCTATGCAACACTCTGATGGCGTTGTTACAATGGAAATCATCGACTGCAAACCGTCAGATTCTGGAAAATATAGCTGCAAGGCAACTAATTGTCATGGTACAGATGAAACAGATTGCGTTGTAATTGTGGAAGGTAAGCACATTATCATTACACATAAGTTCCATCAATAAATTAATAAATTGTATAGCTCAGTTATGACTCATAAAATCTTGAACATTTCAGTTAAATATGTTTATATATAAAAAACGTTATTGTAAGTACAAGAAGAAAATATAATACCGATAAAGTATAATTACTTTACCCAATCCTTTAAACTCCATATATTGATCTTATGTTTCTGATAGAAATGTCATTTGTACATAGAGGTCATATTTTTGCAAGCGTAACAACTTTTGTCTCATTTGTTCTTTAAACTAAAATATTCCTATGGGATTTGAGATTTTATATTTTCAACCAACTTTTAAATGACCATTTCTCAGGCTCTGTAACTGATAGGGACTTAAAATTGTTTGTGTTGTAAAGATAATGGATTGGACGTTTCTCAAATAATTTTTAATTTTAAAAGGACATAAAAAAGGTGACGAAATTAATTTTAGTCAAAATATATTTTACTTGTGGGATAATGATACATATGTAAAATATCATGACACAAAAAATAGTATATATTTTAATAATATATATTTTAGAAAGTAATTACAAGAAAGACGGACCATTTCTTTCTAAGCAGAGACGGTCGCATGCCACATAAAATACATTTATTTGTTGAAATTGCGTTAATTGGGATGTGTAAAAAGTAACTAAAAAACAACCTCAGCTCTATCTTGGTAAGGAAGTTAGTCCACATATCTTTCTGAATGGATGCAACAGTCATTAACGTGGTAATAACTTGGAAAGTTGTGTTATTACTGACATTTTCCAATTTTTACGCAAGCGTAACTCAGACTCTAATTTGTGAACCAATTAACTCCTAAATACAATTTCAAATCACTGAAATTATTGGCTGACCGGTTTCTGATTGACACCATCCGATTTGGCTATTAACATATTGCGACGTGTTTAGTAAAACTTTGGAGATACTTTACTATGGACAGAGATATAAATATTAACATTACTGAACTATTGTTAAGCTTTTGTATTTCAAACAAGAATTTCCATTTTTCGATTCTTACCGTAAATAAGGGGTTTAAATTTTTTGCCAAGAAAGAATTCCTTTATGGCAGACAGCATTGTGTCTATCAAAACAAGGTGCAGTTTGGTTGCTATAGTCTATGAAATGAAATGCAAAATGTGGAAGAACAAGTCTTGCGATCGCTTCTAATAGCATTAAACATGTACGTATAGTACATTTACGTACACTAAACAATAATAAAACCTTATTCTACCATAATAATTTCTACAGGTTCATATGGAAATTGCTAAGAATATTTTATACATAAGTATGCGTTCTTGCTAAGTCGCTCATAGAAAATTAAGTCTACAAACAATTTTATTACGAAATCTCAGAACTATACTATCGAAAATGTTTACAGGTTAGAATACAACTCTGCTTTCTATTCCAGAATTTTTAGCAATATGGATAACTTCGCCTCCTTATTCAGTTAATTTGTACCTTATCGACTACCAATGACCAAAACAATGTAAAGACGAAAACTGGTGACAGTTTCCCCTTACATAAAACATATCTATTTGGCATTATTATTTTTATTCTTAACTTTTTACTTACTTGAAACTTACTGAATTATGACTTAGGAAGAGTAAAAAAGAAACAAATTATAAATAATGTGAATATTATGGTCAGAATAAATAAATTTATTGCGACGCACAGTGTGTCAAAACAGAAATCAGTTTATCAAAATTCGATATTTTCTGAACCAGTAGATATATAGAATTGAAATTAGGACCCAAATATTGATCATTTTCAAATTTTTTTATTTGCCTCGAAAACTACAACAGGTAGAAAGCTGAAAATTGATGAACTGAATACCTGCATTATAATACATATGCCCAAAAAATTTCATGATATACCACCCACCCCCATAAAAATTTTTTATAAAACACCTTGGTGGAAGGAAGTAGCACGCAAAATGACACCTTTAAACTTGAAGCCTACGAGAAAAGTTTAGGACTCTTACGAATAGATGACAGCCAACCAATTATGAAAACACAGCACAATAGCCACACATTCGACGATACGATATAGAACCCAAACGTATTAGAATAACAGACAATTCTGCACACAATGTGACCTCAAAGTTGACCACAACAATTACAATGTAATAAAACATATCACCAGGAGAGTTATTTTTTCTACCGCATACCACAGATAAGGTAATACTTGAACTTAACTTGCTGAAAATTATGGGGACGACCATCAAATTGGAGAACACAGCATGTCAAACGAAAAATATTAGGTGATACGTTAACCCAAAGATCTTTTACTCAACTATGTCTAACCAAAGATAAACAAATTATCTGTATGAACGAATTTCTGGAAGAAAAATCGCACGTTGCAACGCTCGTTGGGCTTAAATATCACAGCAGTATCAATTCGATATACAATACCGACGGGGCAAACAAAACTTAGTCTCGGATACTTTATCAATTCGGTCGGATTTAATAATAGTATATATATATATATATATATATATATACTTTAAGTATAGTATATATACCCGCAACTCTCTTCGTGAATGCACGACAGAAAACGGTACAACCACTACATCACATTTAGCAAGAGCATATAAACTACAAAAATTTTTCAGGGAATCAAATAAAATCTATGTACTTTTGCGATGACGAAAGTCAAATACTATAATCGACATCAAAGGAAATGGAAACTCCAGATAAATCAATTAATGCTTGTGAAAGCCGCGAATGGTTTTACAGCGAAACGGGCACCAAAATATGAAGAGCCATACTATGTACAAGACTTCATATCATCCGAAATAGTACACCTCCAATTAACAAGCACGGGCAAGCTAATAAATATACATATTTCTGACCTAAGAGTGTACTACGGAAGCCAAACAACCATAACGAAAGAAAATCATAGAAACGTTGAACATGGTCCGCGGAATTAGAAGTCATTATAAATAAGCCACGTACGAAAAGTATATCTATTGTAAATAAACCAACAGGGTCGAGGGAAGCTACAAACCATTTAGTAACTTGTTCGTTTCACGTACGGTAATTGGTGACAATTTCCGCATACATAAAACATATCTAGTGTCCAATATAAAGTTAATCAATTTTCTTTTACTTTTAACTAACTAAACTTCTGGACTCTCAGGAAGATATGCTGATTTAATGTCCGTCATCAACTAAAAGAGAAATAAATTATATGATTTCTTTGTCTAGTTAAAGCCTAGTGTGGGGTAGAGATAAGCCCCCCAGCCATTATAGACTAAAAGTGCGTAATAGCATTAACTCAAGAAGAAGAATCAAGAAGAACTAACTGAACTTTGACTTAAAAATAATAAACTAGATAAAAATCCTTAAACTTTAGAATATTTTCGTGACAATTATTAAATTACGTGCAACTATTCTGGTGAGACTGAATTTACCTCAGCAACCGCAACGATGAAAGTGTTGTTGCAGCAATAGTGTAAAAATTGCACCTTAAGGTCGCTTATGGTTGTACTGTCAGTTTAGGAAGAGTTTTTCTTTCAAATGAAAGCAGCTTTCCTTTTACTCGAATTTCTTGTAACGACCTTCATCTTTCAATTTAACAATATTTGAAGATATTGTTCACCAGCTATTAGATTTTGATTTTTTGTCTTACCCCTAACTGCAGCGGTGTCATGCTATCTGAAAAAAGGTTACAATTACTTTATGTAACTATCTTAGCCCGCAGCTATTTTGATTTCTTTACATGTTTGAAGTGATTCCTGATCTAACTTAGCTGACTATTGTGTTGACTATTTTCTTAATATTTGATTTGCTGACAGCACTCAAAACCCTTATATCCAAGCATTCATATATATAAAATCAATATGTTTACTTGCTGTTGGAAATTGAATTTGAGTTTGCAGTCGTCGATTTAAAGTCTCGACATCCAAAACTAAATTTAGTTTGGGTGATTCTCTACCTCATCACCAACAAGCAAGAGGTATTTCTCATTATTCCAACCATATTCATTGATTTATTTGGAAAGCGAGAGACGTTGTTTTTAATACAGAAGTTTTTTCATGTTTATTGATATTACAATAAACCACAATTCTGATGTACAAATTGTTTATAAGTATTTGTTTTTTCAAGGGCTTTTGGTAATACTTTTTATATATTGAATCAAATAAAATGACCGAATTAAAAAAACGGAATGCAATAAATCGAAATATTTGTATAAATAAATAAAATGTTTCCTTTATAAAAACCTTCCAAATAAAAGATAACACTAATATAACCTAATATTAGTGTGTATATGTTAAGCCCAGAAAAAACAAATACTTATTTAATGTTGCTTGATTAATTCTAATGTAAAAGTTAATAACACATTAGCTTTGTGACTTTTGTATAGTCATAGTGATATATGTACATAAATATATCACTCACAGTTGGTGAGTTGGTATGCGTTAATCAAACGCCTTAATTCAGAATATCAGAACATTTATCATATTTTTCCTTCAAATGAATATTTTGTCGGTTAATATAATATGTTTCACAGCAATTGAAACCATATCTATCTACTTTTAACTATTATATAAGTACATTTATATTAGTTTGTTTCAGTTTCATAAAAATACATATTTAAAGCAAATTATATAATTTTTGTAGGAGAATGGGTTACGCCCGAGCAAGCCGAACTTGCTCACAATTTTCTGTACTCAGGAGGTAAACAAACTATAAAAATTTAATAATACTTTTAATATTGCACACTTACTCACTGAAATGTGTTAAATAAAAAATCTAACTGATCTCTTCGGCAAAAAATGATGATTCCTTTCGTTTAACCTTAATTTGAACTTAATGAATATAATGTGAACGGTCAATTGCTATACATGTGTAATTAGGACCAAACCAAAATTTAACAAAATTTGTGTTTGAACTAACCAAATAGTATGGAGTAATACCTAATTTGATATGCATGTGGTTTTTCTAACGAAATCCTCTTTAAATAATCACCTTCACAACTTATTAACATTTTCTTTATTGTGAATTAATTAATGACATTTGCCTACTATATAGATCGGAAATACATTGAACAGCCTATTAAGCCAGCTCCTCCGCCCATTGTAACTCGACAGCAGTTTACTTCGGCAACTAGTCAATACCACAATAGCTCTAATTCCAAAACACAACAAAGCTCAAACTACTCGACATTTAACGGGAGTAAGGTGAGTATAATCAAATTTGATTTTAAGATCTAAAATTTATTTGGAAATGTATTTATATTGCTGCTCAGATCGACGAAACAAGTTCCTCAACAATTCAAACAATTGGTAATAGTAGCAATAAAAAAAAGTATGTAGGCAACAATTTAAAAACACCAGACAGTCCTTCAAGATCCCGTAGTGCAACAAAAGAATTGATACGTACGTAATATGGGTATATGCGTATTTTGAAAATAATATTTAATAATATATTTGAAATTTAGTGCCTCCTGATGACTCGTTGATGTGCAAACCAGAATTCACCAAGCCCTTAACTAACACAAGTGTTCGCGATGGTGATCAATTGACACTGACCTGTCATGTAAAAGGTGATCCTGAACCACACATCACGTGGTCTAAAAATGGGAAAACTATTTCGTCGTCTGATATAATGGATCTGAAATATAAAAATGGTGTTGCTTCATTAACAATTCATGAGGTTTTCCCAGAAGATGATGGGGTGTATACGTGTACTGCAACGAATTCAATTAGTGCCGTAGAAACAAAATGCAAGCTAACTGTAAAACGTAAGTGGGAAATAATATTTATAATACCTATGTAATTAATTTGAAATTTTTTTTTTTTAAATTTATAATTTCAAAAAATTATATAATTTATTATTTTTTTAATATTAATTTTAATAAGACACTTTTTTTAAAATATATACGCCTTTATGATTTGAAGTAGAATTCAAGACAGCTGAAAAATTTATGATTTTGACATGTAAGAAAGTAAACCTCTTTAAAAAAATCAAGAATTGATTGATAAATTTATTAATTGTGTGTTTTCAGAATATACAGTGCACTTTGATTTTAATAAAACTGAGTATGAAAACCAATTTATATAAAGAATACGTTTAAATTAGGAACCATTTTTCCATTTTTATTTATTTCAATACAAACCAAATGTATAATCCGCAAAATAAGAAGTTATTCCGTTTCGATCTGAGGGCGAGTCTTTCATCATCAAATAGCTCGAAGTGAGCTTTAGCTTAATCATACAAAATCATACATATTTATGAATTTTTCAATCTGTACCGTGGATGTTGAAGTGTTGAAAAAGTTTTTGCACAGTTAAAGATGTCCCTGCATGGGATTTTATTTTTTATTTTATGCTTCCAATTACACACTTGCATTTTTCTAATACCATTACATAGGCGACCCATTTTTATCTGAGCCTACCTTGCGTCATATTGCTTATCGACGCATACAATAATAACTGTCTTCGTGAATGGCATTATTCTATTCCTAAGACATACTCCGCTCATTAGAGGTGTTACGCACTTTTATCAACCTTATTACACTTTTTTCTTTAGATCGAACTTAGAACTCATTATTGTTTCTCTTCTTCTCTGCAGACTTCTCAACCTCGGTACAAGCTATAAATAATTAGTAGTATTTTTTATAAAACAAGTAAAAGATTTTCATCTTGTGTTATTAGAGTTCACAATTCAGACCCATATATTAGAATAGGATAAGTTACGTTTTTGTATGAAGTGTAAGACCCCGTGGCAGAACTTAGAAGACTCAAGATATCCCTGATTTCTTTAATATTATTTATCAGCACCCTAAGATATTTAAATGTATCCAATCCTTCTACTGTGTAATTTCATACTTTGATATTTTCAATTTTGCGTTTTCATCCAATTTTGATATTCCGTGAACTTTTTTTCTTCTCATTCACTATAAGGTCAATTTTCCCTGCTTTCGCTTTGTTGACAATCGTTCATGGGTGTTTTTCTTCTTTTTATTCTATATTACCAGCTATATAATCTTTTTATTAGCTATTAATTTCAAAAGCCGCTCCTATACCTTAGAGTCATCCTCACCAGTCTACTTGACTAGTATATTTCCACCAATTCTTTAAAAGTTACTGGAACTTTCTTTATGTTAATACTATCAAAAACTTATTTTAGATTAACGAAGAGAATGCGTATATTTATAATATGCTCCTTGTATTTTTCTATTTTCTGCTTGAGACACGCTTGATCAACTGATGATGTGTTGGATCTGAATCCGATGAATCTGATATTTTTCAAGAACGGGCGCCGCGTTGTTTTAAGCAAATTTAATATGATAACATGATGATATGATAATTTTTGTAGCACAGGCTAAGAAATGTTATCCCTATTTAGTTTTTTATAAGCTCTTTTATCATTCATTCTATCATAAGCTAATTTTTATGCGCAGATTCTACTAAACCTTTTAGTTGCTCTTCTGAAGTTGTTCTTTCCATTCCCATTCCTTTGAAAAGCTTATATGAATAAGTTATATTGCTGTGATTTAAAACTTCTACAGTCCTGCAGTTTTACTTTCCATCCTAGGGGGACTTACAGTTTTTAAGCATTTTTTATAACCTATAACCTATATAGCACACTAGATTATCTTCTGACTCTTCATTAGAAAGATCATCTTTTCAGAATATTGTCGTCTTCCATTCGTTATCTCTTTCATGTATGCATATATATATTTTAGACTGAAAGCCATTTGGTAAAAGGTGTTACTCAAATTCGTAATAATTTTATTAATTATTTTTCGCAATCAAATAATATGTACAAACAAAACCAATAATAAACATATCTTTTAATTTTCAAATTTTCAGCTACGGACACAAATTCAACCAAACGCAACATTTCAGCTGATAAACCACCAAAAATTGTTAGTCATTTGGAATCCAGATACGTTAAAGACGGGGAAACCGTCACTTTAGCTTGCCGCATTATTGGTGCTGAACATTTTGATGTCGTTTGGCTGCACAATAATAAAGAAATAAAGCCTAGTAAAGATTTTAATTACACCAATGAGGCTAATATATATAAATTACAAATAGCTGAAATCTTTCCTGAAGACTGTGGCACTTACACTTGCGAAGCTTTTAATGATGCAGGGGAATCATTCAGTACGTGCACAATAAATGTTCTAGTACCTGGTGAAGAACCAAAGCAACCAAGTTTTACCAAATATCCATCGTCAGTAACTGTACAAGAATCTGAAACCTGCAAATTTGTTTGTGAGACACAAGACGAAATTCTACAGCTTTGTTGGTTAAAGGATGGTAAAAGTGTAAATGAGACCAGCTCGCGCTACTCATTTACTAAAGATGGCAACTTGTATACATTCTCGATTGTTAAAAGCAGTATCGAAGATGTTGGCCAATATCAGGCAAAAGCTATTGGTAAAAAGGGCGAAACTTTATGTTCGTTCTCAGTTAATGTATTTGTGAACGAATCGAGCTCGTAACCGCATAATACAAAAAAAAAATTGTATATACATTTTTAATAAGATAATTAAGATACTAATATACCTTTAATATATTAGCTATTTTTACAAAGTAGTTATTAACTTTTGATTGATTGATTGTTTATGCATATTTATACCAAACTCTATCGTTATCGTTCATCATCATTCGAATATGGACTATTTGTTTATTTTTTCATTCTTTTTAGCTAGGGAACTGCGGATCAGTTAGTTTAATGTATATAAAATATGATTGTATTATTTTTACATATTTCGCTTTGAAGTACGGCATCCTCAACATAACATCTCTTAAATTAAGTACTTGAAGTCGATATGTATATGTTTTTTTTATTTGTAGCTTGAAAGTAATATTATTTGAAATGTTTATGTTTAAAAATAAAAAAATTTAAATCAATTAATTTGAGTATTAATTTAAATTTTTTAGGTTGGTATTATACTCTATAAACAGAAGTGAAACGTAGTAGAGTTTTGGTATATTGAAACACTGTTTTGAAATACCTACCAATATTTCAGCAATATTTTCATAGTAACTGCCTTGATTAAAGTATCTATTGGGCATTTAATAAGTCTATCTATAAAGGTTCAACTATATTGGTGTAAGGAAAAGAAAAAAATTGAAAATGAAAGATGGAGTATTCGTTCGATACTGATTTATTTCTTAAAATCTACGGTTTATATACAATTTTTGTCTTAAAATTATCTTAATAATTAATTGATAAAAATAATCCTATTGAGCATGTGTTCTATGTTTCTAATTACAATATTTACATTTGTATTTTTAGTGGACTGTATTTACTGTTTACAGTTTACAGTTTACATAGATTATGAAAAAATAGTTTACATTTGGCGAAATTTATTTTTAGTGATAAAGAAGGTTAAGTGCTGTACATGCTCAGATTATAGTTTATCTATCCTAAATACACAATGATCAAATTTTTTTTTTTTAAATCCATTTATTTTATTACAATCTGTCAGGTATAAATGACAATAAGTAATATATATTAATATAAATCGTAATAATAGTTATTGCGATCAAAAGAAAGGTGCGTATGAACTATGCCCAGTGACATATCCATATATATTTAAAATAGAAGTGTGTGGCCTATATATACATATCTAAAATGTCTCTCGATGTTTTCCTTCTCAGGCTTGTAAAAGTGTTGGAAGGGGACATCAGGTGTGTAATCAGCGAGTTTGGGTGCATATATATGCGATGAACGTAATTGTTTATGCAGCTGTTCATTCGTTATATACCAAGGTGCATTTGTGATCATACGTAGTGTTCTAGATTGAAAACGCTGGATAATTGCCAGGTTTGAGTCTGCTGCAGTACCCCATAATTGGGCCCCATAACTCCATATAGGTTTTAGTACAGAATTGTATATAAGCTTCTTATTGTCGAGTGACAGTTGGAGTTTCGGCTGAGGGACCAAAATAAGTTTCGTAACTTAAGACCCAGGGCCTTACGCTTTTTGAATATGTGTGATTTCCAGGTTAGCTTACTATCCAGATGTATGCCCAAGTATTTTGTTTCTACAGCTTGTGGTAATTGTGTATTGTTTATTAAAACAGGCGAGCATGTAGAACATTTTGTAGTAAATATTACTTGGACAGATTTTGATTAATTTGGTTTGATACGCTAATTTTTCATTAAGAGAGCAACATTTTTTAAGGCAGGTTTAAAGTTTGGTGGAAGCAAATTGTACCGATAACACTCTTATCGGTAAGGAGAAGATCCTCAGTATATGAGATAAAGCATTGGTTCCATTATACTTACTTAATCAAAAAGTGGCTTGCCGAGAGGTACGATTTAATAAATATGAAAAAATGTAGGGGTAGATTCAGTTTTAGTTTGAAAAGAAGGCCCTTATGTCATACTCGATCAAAAGCTTGTGAAATATCTGTAAATGCCGCATTGCAATATTTTTTACGATCTATCGCACTATGGATATGTCTGACAAGTCTATGAATTTGTTCTATTGTGCTATGTTTTTGGCGAAAGCCGAATTGATGGTCAGGGATGAGGGTGTTTTGTTGGTTAATCGGTGTAAGGCGCTTTAGAAACAGGATTTCCATAATTTTCGACGGAATTGGAAGTAGACTTATTGGGCGATATGATTTGACGTCTTCTGGGCTTTTCCCTGGTTTCGGTATCATGGAGATTTGCGCTATCTTTCACTGTGGCGGAATAAATCCCCTTATCACAGCGTTAAACAGATGAGTCAGAAATACAAATCCTTTTGGTGGAAGCTGCTGCAAGGCCATGCCTATGATTAAATCGCATCCTGGAGCTTTTTTTACTTTTCACTTTGTTATTATATCTCTAACTTCATTAATAGTATATCTTTTAATTGGAAGTTCCAATTGATAAGGCTCTTGTAGAAAATTTATCCTTTGTTTCATGATATCAGGCATATTTACGTTATCATTTGGTTTAAAGACCTGGTCCAAATGTAACGCGAATGTTTCTGCTTTTTCAATATCGCTTTTTGCCCATGAGTTGTCTATTTTGCGTATAGATGGTTGATAAGCAATCGGTCTGTTATTCTTTTTTATGGCTTTCCAAAGGGAGTAATTTGTTTCACATGAAGCACTTAGGTTTTGGAGGTATAGGGACGTGCGATTATTGTTATACGTTAAAAGTAGGACTTTAACGAGTTTACATAATTTGTTTAAGCGAGTTTTATCGGCAGGGAATCTCGTCTTTTGCCAATGTTTTCTCATCCTACGCTTTTCTTTGATCAGATATCTAATGTTAAATGGATAATCTTGCTTAACACTTTTAGGAAACGGTGGAGTTGATTCCCATGCAGACATTTGGACACAAGAGTTGAAATGCTCTACTGCTTCAGTTACGTCAGATTCAGTTTTTAACCTGACTTCGGTATTTAGACCAATTGTAATTAGTTGACGATAACTGTTCCAGTCAGTATTTTTGTTATGAAGAATACATTTTTCCATAATTTCACAGCAGTCATTGAGAGTGATTATTATTGGCGAGTGGTCTGATGACAAGTTGAAATTGGACTTACAGGTAGTAGCACCGATACGTACCCCCTTTGATAACGCAAAATCAATTAAGTCAGGTATTTTTCTTCTATCCGTTGGCCAGTATGTGGGTTCACCTGTTGAGATTGTGTGTAGATTGAGTACATTTATTGCTTCGAAAAGATGTCATCCTTTTGGAGATATTAGGCGGGAACCCCATTTTAAGTGTTTAGCATTAAAATCTCCGCCTACTAGGAAGCTAGATCCAAGCAGCTGAAAAAATGATATGTACATATCCTTCGAGATACTGTGGTGCGGTGGGCTGTAGAGTGATGAGAAAGTCATGTCGCCTTCTTTAGTTTGTACTACAATGTTTGTTGCCTGAATTTCATTCGTGCAATATGGTTTTACGTCATAATGTTTTATCGATTTTCTTATGAGGACCGCAGAGCCTCCATTTCCTTTACCACTGCGATGCATTGTGTGATAAAGTTCATAGTTCGGAATTTTAAAGAAACTACGCGTCGTAAAATGGGTTTCTGATACCATCATTATGTCGACTTGGTTTATTTTTAAGAATGCTTTTAGTTCGACAGTATGTTTTGATAGACCATTAGCGTTCCATATGACTACTACTAAATCAAGAATTTTGTTTAGTCGTCAAGTTGATCAGTAAATTTGTCATTACTACGATTTGTTGCATCATTTGCTTCAATAATGATGTCGTCTCACGTCTTCCACAAAATTATTTGGAATTGGTGATAGCTTCTCCTCTGTTGCGCTACTGGTGTCTGACTTCACTATTTGTGCGAATGTTTGAGATGAATGAGAATTCCAGATGTGATTTTTGTTTAGAGAAGAAAGAGGATTTTCTTGAATTTGCACTTCTGGCGCCATAGGCCGAGGTAAAATCGTTCCTTGAGGGTCAAAACCCAATACCCTCCCACCAGTTTGGTTTTAGGGAAAAACATGGATTTATTGAACAATTGAATCGTATAACGAATAAGACACGCATTTGAGCTCAGAGAATATTGTTCCGCGGTATTTCTCGATATTAAACAAGTCTTTGACAAAGTATGGCATAATGGGCTCCTATAGAAGATACGCTCTTACTTTCAAATGTCCACTCAGTTTTAGAATCGTATCTGCATAACAGTAGCTTCAAAGTTAAATGTAAATCATTTACTTCTAATAATTTCCCAATAGAAGCTGGTGTTCCACGAGGAAGTGTTCTTGGCCCTAATTTTTATAAACTTTACACATCTGATATCCCAATAAGTAGCCCAGTCGTCACTACAACGTTTGCTGATGACACGACAATTTTATGCCGAAACAAAAACGTTGTGTTAGCTTCAAACCAACTTCAATTTCGTTTATTTCGAATGGAGAAATGGTTGTCAAAATAGCGAATCACAATTAATGAACTAAAATGTAGACACGTAATTTTTAGCTTAAATCGAAGTAGATCTCCAACAATTTTACTAAATAACATTCCCATAGGTATTCACCTAGACAGACGACTAACTTGGCGCAAACATATTGAAGCCAACAAAAATCAGATGAAACTCCAAGCCTCTAAGTTGCATTGGCTCATTAATAGCAGATCTTCCTTATGCCTAGAGTATAAAGTACTCTTGTATAACAACATCATAAAACCAATATGGACTTATGGTATCGAGCTATTTGGCAATGCTAGTGCTTCAAATATTGATATTATCCAAAGAGCTCAGTAAAAATACCAAGTGCAATAACTGGTGCCCATGGTATATAGGGAATGAAAGCATTCACCGAGACTTACAAATTTCCCTAGTTAAAACTGAATTTGACATTATATGAAAAAAAAAATACAATAAAAGGCTGACAGAACATGTTAATCTCCTAGCAAGAAATCTCGTGCATCTATACAGTACTTCCCGCCTAAAAAGAGCTGACTGTCCAGCCATTAATTAATATTAATTAATAGCTTAAAGTGAAAACCGCAGTAATCTACCACCTAACATTCACTCCAATGATTTTTAACCCATTGTTCTAAGTGAGGTTCGTGATATAAGGTTTACTTTTTTTATTTTATTTTTCACAATGTATAGTTAAAATAAAAATTTGTAATATTATGTAATAAGTGATAAGATTTTAAAACTCATTATTAGTCTCATTGTATCCCCAAATATCTCTCAAGAGAGATTTGAAGAGTTTCTTGATAGGCTATCAGGAACAGTCAGAAACAAAACTCCCATCATTGTTGCAGGAGATCTCATTGCTTGGGCAGTCGAATGGAGCAGTACGACGCGCCGAGTTAAAGCCTATTAGAGACGGTCACCTCACTAAACATAACATAACTGAACAATGGGCATAGCCCAACGTTCGTTAACGGTAGAAGCGTATCCTACATAAATCTCACTTTTGCCAGCCCGTCCTTAGTAAGGTGTTCGCAATGGAAAGTAACAAACCACTAGACCCACAGCGACCACCATGCCATTTGCTTTTCTATATACAGTGGACGTCCAATATAACGAATTTTATGTTGCACCCCTTGTTCGTTATATCGAAAAATTCGTAATATCGAATGTTATACATTTACCTACCAATATGGTTATTTTTAGAAGATTTCATATATTTGAGTTCATAAATTAACTTATAAACACGTACGAGTATATATTTATTTAAAAGTATTTTTTATTCGGTTGTTACAAAAATTATTTATAAGAAAGGACGCATTCAATCATAGTGTAGAGTAAAAAAAAATCATTAATTTTTGTTTGTTTTTTACTACACTCAAGACTTTTCTGAACAGCTTTTTCTTGTAGTTCTCTTAGTACAGCTAATTTTGTCAAAATTAATTTTTAAATGATATTTTCAAACAAATACATATTAAATATAAACACCTTAATATGTACATATGTATGTCTGGATAGTATTTCGTATATGATAAACTGAATTTGTGAACAACAGATCAGTGGCGCCTGCATATATGCATTTTGCCATATATAGGCATTTTTCTCAGAAAAAAAAAACGGACAATTACATGCATATTCTAAGCTGAATAATGCTAGTTTTATAGTAAAATTATATTCAAAAGCATAATTTGTATAAAACAAAAACGAATAAGAAACAAAAAATTTTTTGTTCGTAATATGGAGCAGAATTTTTTTTTTCGTTCGTTATATAGAACAATCAATGTAAATATTTTGGGTGTTCGTTATATCGAAAATTCGTAATATCGAGCGTTCGTTATACTGGACGACCACTGTAGTTGAAAGAGAAGTTTGTTTTAAAACAATCGCAAAGAAAACCACAGCAAATAGGCTGGAAAACTAAGTATCTCGACAATGAGGTAATGGAATTCATGACCGAAAACATGAGTTTCGAAGTTGGGGATGCTTCTGAAAAATCAAATCACCTTGTGAAGAAACTATGCAATATCTGTGATGCATCAATGCCAAGAAAAGGTAGAAGTAATGAGCGGGCACCAAACTATTGGTGGACGGAAGAAATAGCACAGATATGGAGTAGATGCGGAAAGGCTTCTACAAAAAGGCGAACTTAAAAAGGCAATTATTAGGAGTAAGAACCAAGCTTTTCAAACTCTGATCAATGATGTAGACCAAAATGTATGGGGCAATGGCTACAATATAGTAATGCGTAAATTTAAGATGTTAAGATGTTCGGTACCTTCTTATCGTAAAATAATGCCGAATATTGTGAAACATTTGTTCCCAAAAAAGGGAGAACTTAGAATCTTAATATCGATAAACACTGAATTAAATGAGATTCCTCCGATTACAAATTCTGATGTCATAGACGCTTGTTCCAGAGTTAAACCCAATAAATCTCTAGGATTGGATGGAATCTCCATCCATCCATCTCTGAAGGAGGCAATACAAAAACAAGCTTCTATATTTAGGAATGAAGGCAGCTGTTGAAGCTGCCTACAAAAAGTAATTTTTCCTTTGTGTTGGAAAAAGCAAAGATTGGTGCTAATTCCTAAAGGTAATAAGCCCTTAAAACTACCATCGTCTTTACAGACCTTCATGCTTACTGGACACTGCAGGTAAAGTTCTAGAAAGAAATATATGTTCTAGATTAGAAAAATTCAGGGCTTAAGGTGGCTAGGTGGTACCAAAAAGTACTGCGCGGTGGTGACTTTAGATGTTAAAAATGCTTTCAACTCTGCTGAATGGAGTAGTATCTTAAATGCACTGATGAAAATAAGAGTGCCAGATTATCTTTTAAAAATAATTACATCATATTTTAAAGACAGATTACTTTTATATGATACAGAATTCGGACCCAAAACATATAAGGTTACGGGAGTGGTTCCCTTGGAATCAGTTCTGGAGCCAATTCTATGGAATATCATGTACGATGGTATCCTTCGAATTGAAAAGCCGGACGTAGTGAACTTAGTTGGGTATGCAGACGAGATTGCAATAGTAGTACACCAAGTGGCTAGGAATTGCAATGCTACTATTGTAGCAGCTAAATCGTGGTTGCAATACAATACAGTACAATCTAGCCCCCAACTTACGTATCTCGGTGTTACCCTAGATAGTAGGTTGAGTTTCAAAACTCACCTAAAGCAATCGGGAGAAAAAGGCGCACGTACTTGCAACACATTATCCCGGTTAATGCCAGACATAGGAGGCCCCAACGACACCGCTAGAGTTCTTTTAGCATCAGTATCCAAGTCGGTGATGCTATATGCTACTCCTGTGTGGGCGCATGCTACAACCAGAAAGTCGTATTCACGCGTAACGAAAAGTGCACATAGATTGTCAAACTTACGCATCTGCCGTGCTTACCATACAGTATCGGACGAAGCTGCGGGAGTATTGGCTGGACGTATGCCAATAGACCTTGAAGCACTCTTGGCCACAGACAGTATTTTCCTATGTTCTCGTCTACGAATGACTGAAACTGAGCAATCTTTGTCAGATTCTTATCTAGAAATAAGAGACAAATACCTTAATGAATGGCAACATAGGTGAAACCATTCCCAAAAATCAAGATGGACGCATTCGTTAATTCCAAATATAAAAGTTTGGATTAACCGATGATCTGGAGACTTGGGATTTCAATTAACTCAGTTCCTTAAGAGGCATGGCTGCTTCCGTGAATACATATACCGGTTCGGGCTGGCAAGTAACCCGTACTGCCAATTTTGTCCGGATAAAATTGAGAGTCCCGACCATATAATTAGAGACTGTATAGGATTCGTTGATACTAGACAAAATCTAGAGACACTAATTGGTGAAACCAGCCCTTCTACTATGGTATTGCAAATGTTGGCAAGCATTGAGGAGTGAAGTCTATACAAGTGCATAATCTCTAGAACAATAAATATTGTTAGAGCAGTCGAAATACTTAGTACACAATCGGACTAAAAGCACCCTAAATTCTCTACTAACTTGCCCTATGAAGGAATACCTTAATTGGTCGTACTGCCGGGATTTCCAGGATTTTGAGCTGAGAATGTAGGGACTTTTTGTCCGTAGACATGTATGACTCAATTGAGTTGTGTATGAATTGGGTATGCAAATGGTACGGGCGATTTGTATCTTTAGAAAATTTTCCTCCAGGTTCGATAACAAAACAAAAAAGAAAATCAAGGTCTCTCCACAAAAAATAGCCAACACAGCGATGCATTAGTTAATGAGATAAAGGAAATGATGATATTAATGGACTGTCACAACATTCTTCTGAACTAAAACCACGTCTTTAAAAAAATTTTGTGGATATACAATTAGTTTCAGAAACACATTTCAACACAAATTTTTTTTTTAAATTCCATGCTATTTCTTCTAACACTCAACACATCGCCTGGAAAAGCTTTTGGAGGCTTATTAATATTAATTAAGAGAACACTTAAACATTAGCCATTTACTCACTACAGCACTATGAAATTCAAGCAACAAATGTTATGATTAAGAACTCAGTTGAACCAATTTTTAAATCTGATATTTTGTAAGAACGGAAATTTTCACATATTTTCAAACAGAGCAGTTCAGAATTTTTATCAGACCATTCATCAGTGGTTGTTATTATAGATAAAGACCTTAGAAGCAAAACTCAAAAATGTCAGTTATACAAAAATGAACAAAATGGAAAACAATATTGTCATCGTTTCTAAACGCTCAAATGTCGTTAAAAATCGGGTAAGAAGTAATTTTTAGAATTAAACGACTGACTACCTAACTAGATCTGTTCAGGAATTAGGATGGGAAGCTTCTCCTCTATCGAAATATTATACAAAGAATTTATACTGGGGACATCACAAAACAAAACTAAAAGATAAACACGTGGCTGGAAAAATATGGCGTCGTTCCGGATTTACTAAAGACAAATGAAAATTAAATAAAATTACACTAAAGGATTATAGAAGACTCATTTATATCCTACCAGAATGTGTTATCTTTTGTACTGATCAGATGAGTTTTATGTGTGGCGCACATACAAACGTTTTCTTGCTGTCCGGTAGTGTTTTGTTTACTTTTCCGTTTGTTACGTTTCTTGCTATCGTACTGTTGTTCAAATTGTGTGCTCAGCAAATTTTGTGATTATGTCTCTGCGCCGACGTTTGTGACGTTTGTAAATATTTGTTTACATTTAGTTTTTTCCTGTCGAAACGCGTGTTATATCGATGGTTCATTATTTTTAAATTTTAAATATTTAAACCACCAATATTAGGCTAGTAAGGTGTGTGCATCATTCTTTTTTAATTAACTTTATTTTTAATTTATTTCATATTGTTCGTGAACCAAATACACAGTACATTGGGATTGCATCTTTTTGAACATTTGTTCAAAAAAAGTGAAATGCATTGAAACACCACCCTTTTGTAGAGACACTTTTTGCTTGGTTGTTATTCGTAGTAGTTCAGTGTGTGCACGTGGATTCTTTTATTTGTTACCATTGTAAAACTTGAAAATTAAATAATATGTATACTTAATCATTTAATATTAAATTGAAAATTAAATAAAGTGTATTCTTAATCAAAAATTGGTCCTTCGAACCGGATTATATTTAAATCATATTTGAACCCTATTTCGTTATGGTAGAGGAAATGAAGAGGTTAATGCACGTGCGTGGACGCCTTAAAGGCTCAATTACTCGAGCACTTGCTTACGCAACCAATCCTTCAGAAAAGGTTTCCTACGATGAAATCGTAACTAAGACTGACAAACTAGAAGATATTTGGCAGCAGTTTGTTAGGTCAACGGATAAGATGTACGCGTTTCGAAATGGTCCTGAATTTTGCTACATATGAGGAGAAGTACCTGTCCACTCAAAGTTGCATGCTTGCCTCGAAACGTGGCCTTGCACTAAATGTGCGACCTTAAGATGATGATGACAGCAAGCATCATTTTTAAAACAAATTTCATTCACTTCTAATGTTTCATCATTTCAGGGAAATGAGTTACCTAAAATTAACATTCCGCACTTCTCAGGAAAATATACGAATTGGCCATAATTTAGAGATTTATTCATCAGTTCTATTGTCTCAAAGCAGAATCTTTCTTTTACGCAAAAATTTCACTACTTGAAATCTCTATTGAAGGATGAAGCTGCTGCTCTTATCAAACATATTCCAGTTACGGAAGCTGCTTACAGTACAGCGTGGAGCGTTTTCATCGTCCTTAGCACATCGTCATGGCACTTACTGAAAACTTTATGGATCTTCCATCAACATCGCAGAAAAATTTTGCAATTTTGAGGAGAATTTCATCGTGATTGTTGGCTTATCCATTTGTTATTATCGAAGGTTGACCTTGAAAACTAACTTAGCGACAAGTATTATCAGACGTATCACGGATTTTTGATCCATTGGGTCTTCTTACTCCTGTTATTGTGCAATACAAGATATTTTTCCAAGAATTATGGCTCATTAATTTTAAATTGGACGACCATCTCCCTTCTAATCACCCTGAAGTTTGGCTGAAATGTCGTGAAGTCTTAAATAATGTTGCAAAATTGTCATTGCCAAGATGGGTGTGCAACTCTCTTAATAACATTGAGTTACATGGATTTTCGGACGCTTCAACAAAAGCATATTTGCAGCCGTTTATTGTCGATTCCAGAATAAGGATGGGGATATGAGGACATCTCTTATTGCTGCAAAAACACGTGTGGCGTCGTTGAAACAAATTTCTTTGCCGCGACTAGAATTATGTGCCGCTCTTTTATTAACGAAACTGTTAAATTCAATAACAAAGGCTTTACCTCACAAGGAAATCAACGTAAAGGCTTGATGTGACTCTACTGTGGTTATCGTGGTTATCGCAACCACCAATCACATTAAAAACGTTTGTCGCGAATCGCACAGCAGAAATATTGGAAACTCTAAAATCTAAGGAAAATCCAGCTGATTGCGCGTCTCGGGGCATGATGGCTCACGAATTATTAAACTTTGAACAATGGTGGAAGGGGCCTCCCTGGCTAGCGAACGGAACTACTGGTAAGTCTTTATATAATAACGATGATAATTTCCTCGCATATTCAGAAGAAGATGTAACCGCTAAAATGAAGTGTACCAAAATAAACCTAGTCTCTATGGCAGTAGCAAAGGATAATATCTAAACTATTAGCTGGTAAACTAAAGCTGGTAGAAAGGGTCTCAACATGGAAGACATTATTTTATGAATTAAGTGAACCTCAACTAATTTGCTTACGACTTGCACAAAACTTCCAAAAAGGAAGATTTGCTGCAATTAAGATATAACAGGGAGCTTAGCAGAAGATCTCCTTACTTAAACTTGCCCCATTCATTGATACCGGACTTTTACGTGTCGGTGGAAGAATCACCCATTCAACGTTAGACAAGAACACCTGTCATCGTATTATACTCCCGAAGGAACATAGAATTTCCACGTTAATCCTACTAATCCTGCACTTTTCGTTCACGTTCGCCAGAACTACTAGTTTTTTGGAGCACGAAATTTAATAAGGAGGTTAACTCATAAATGTTTGAAATGCTTTCGTCAACGCCAGCTAACAACACAACAGTTCATGGCTGATCTACCAGCAGTGCGGGTTCGACAAACACATCCCTTTGAAAATACTGGATGCAATTACGCTTGGCCCTTCACACTGAAGTTATATAGCGGAAGAAATGCACATACCTCCAAGGGGTTTTTTGTTTTGTTTTTTTTTGTTTTTTTTTTTTTGTTTTTTTTTTGTTTGTTTTTTTTTTAACGAGGACTCAAAAGCTTTGAAAGCCTAAGTCAATGCGAAACTTTAATCCGCTAAAAACATGTCCTCAAGTCCGGACGGAGAGTCCCTCCTGGAACTACCGTTAGGTATTACGTCAGAAAGGTGTCCTGAGGTGTCCTGTAACTGTCCTATTTCTTGAGGTGAGACCTCACTTGTGGCGCGTTCGCTGGCACGACTTCGTTCAATGACTCTAAGTTCAGTCATGTTCCTCGCAGCAGTGGTCGATATCAATCGCCATATATCCGGCGAGTTAATCATTTTCAAAATTAAATTTCCCGGGCAAATGGGCTCGCCAATATCCTCACTTATCTCTGCTCTGACTTCGTTAAAACGTGGACAAGAGAAGAGTACGTGGTTTGCATCCTCAGCAACACCTTCACAGCTACGACAAAACGGATCTTCATCGTGTTTAAAACGATAAAGATACTGTTTAAAGACTCCATGTCCGGTTAGGATCTGAGTGAGATGGAAATCTACCTAATCAGCGTATGATCTCATTCACATAGCAGAAGCCCAAATGGGAGCTGTATACAATATTACCGAGTTGGTGACTCTTGCCAGGAGTTTACGCTTGGTGGGTCGAATACCCGAGGTGTTTGCCACGAGTCATGACAGAGCAACAGTGACTTTGGCCGCCTTCTCATTTACCGCCCTTAGATGGTTTCTAAAAGTAATTCTGGTATCTATGAGAACACCCAGGTACCGCAGGGATGACTTCGAGGTAATTTCGAAATCACCGCTTGAAAACGAGAAGACTTCCCGTTTTTTCCGAGTACTG